TGAGACAGTGAAGTCAGAGGACCCCATCACGCATGAAGCAAGAGGGCCTTCCGAGGCCCTGGAACACTCGAACAGCATCCTGCAGGATCCTTATATTTCTTTGACTAGGCAGCATTGGTTGTTTGCCGTGCCAGGGCCCACTCTAGCCCAGACTCCCCAGACTCCAGATCGAGGTCAGCAGCGTCCTCGGAGTCGCTCTCCTCCGCAGCAGTGAGGCAGTCAACCGACTGCAGCTTGCGGAGACTGTTGAGGCCTGCACATGTGTTGGTTGCCAGAGGGAGTGACAAGGAGTGAAAGGTAAGGATGTACAAGGCACGCACCATGGCAGGCGATTGCAGCCATATTTCAAGGGCATCTTGAAACTGCTGTCGTGTGAAACTCTCACTGGCCCCACTCTCCACGCTCTACTGTAAAGCTGCCGGAACCCACCATCAGCTCACCGCTCTGGTCTGAGGTCGCCACCACCGACGTCTGCGCGGCATTGAAGGCGTCTGCAGCCGCCTGGGCGGCAGCGACGTTGCGCATGGTGTCATCCAAGTCGCTCTGCTCGATCACCTCCCCCTCGTCATCGTACATGGGAATGTCCTCGTCCTGTATTATGGGGTGCATTTATGGCCCGTAGGGCAGACAGCACGCAAGGGAAGAACAAAGACGCGACGGCAGCGAGTCACCACAACCTGCACCAATGTCAACAGTGCAAAGATTCTGGTCCTCGCTCTCCAACCACCATGCAGCATGTTTGCCCCCTTCCTTTTGTGACTCACCTCCATTAGCAACTTGCGTGTCCTGACGCCCCCAGGTGTCTTGGCTGAATACACATTCGCCTGAAGAGTGTGCGTTTCCTCGTCGCTTCTGATCTGGGTGTCAGCCTCCCCGCCGTTCTCAGTGTCGGCTTGGAGGAGATCCAGCAGAGCCAAGGTGGTGGCACCATTCCCCGTCACCTCCACCTGACGCAGGACCACGGCAGCATGTTCCTTCTGTCGAGGAGCGCAAAGTCAACGGATCTCGTAAGAAAATGTGAAAAATTGAGCTACGACTCTGGGTACACAACATGCCGTGGGCCACGTGACCCTCCCTACCTTGCTTGCTGCCAGAGTTGTCGGGGTGTGGAGGACGGTGACGAGGAACACCAGGGCGAGCGCTCCTTGTACACCCATCATGATGTGAGTACCCATATCGCTCCACTTTCCTATTCTCGGGTTGCAGGCGCGGAATCGAGAACCCGGTGTCGGGGGGGTAGGAAGGAATCTCGAGATTGTGTGTATTGGGTTCCCGGACTTTGGCACCCCTCCTGTGGTCAGAGAGGCAGGTGAGAGCTTTTTGTTGCGTGGATCATGCCTACGTCGTGGTGTACGGGTGGATGCATGTCTGGTTCGCCCTCTGCGCCCCGATGCTCGCGCAGGGTGCGTGCCCATAAAGAAAGCAGGCCCGCCCCTTCCCCATGGGAAGTTTCCTCCCAATTAGTAATCATTCTTCCTGTTTTACAGGGCTACAAAGGGGCATACAGCCTGGTAGAGACGCACACCTCCCGGAGTTCTTTCAAGAAGCCCAGACGGTGTGGAGGCAAATTCTACAGGTGCTCCGACAACGATTATAGGGGCGTGCGGCCAGGTCGCCGGACGTCCTCCAGCCATGGGTGCGGGTTGACAGGCAGGCGCTGCTGGGTACCCCTCCACAGCGAGCGCTGCCACTCTCCCACCCCTGTCGAGTGGCAGGAGCGGTCGAGAGGGACCAGCGGACCCCCAGCGGCGCCGTCCGCCTCCATGCCACCCCCCCCTCGCCATCCTTCAGAGGCCGGGGACAGGGTTCTGGCGCGCGCGCACGCAGCGTGCCATGGTCTTGCTGGCGCGGCTGATGGCATCGGTCTGGTAGAAGTTGGTGACGCGCGTGGCCAGCGGGTCGGCAGCCGGCTTGCCGGCGGCGCCGCCCACGCCCAGCGCGTCGGCGCCGAGCCAGAGCGGCGGCTCCAGCGCGCCGCGGCGCGCCAGGTGGGGCGCCACCTCCGCCAGCCGCGCGCGCACGCCGGCCAGGGTGTCGTAGGGCAGCGGCGCGCCCATGACCTCGCTGAGCGCGCGCAGGACCTTCCAGTCGTCGCGCGCGGCGCCGGGCGGCCCCACCGCCGCCTTGGTGGACTGCGCGCGCCCCTCCGCGTTCACGTACGTCCCGAACTTTTCGGTGTAGGCGGCGCCGGGGAGCACGACGTCGGCGCGCGCCGCGCCGCGCTCGCCGTGGTGGCCCTGATACACCACGAAGGCGTCGGCGGGGACGTCGCCCTCCTCGTAGTCGTCCGCGCCCAGCAGGTAGACGGCGCGCGGCGCGACGCCCCGGGCTCCCGCGCCGGGGACGAAGCCCAGGTCCAGCGCGCCCACGGTGCCCGCCGCGTCGGCCAGCACCGCAAACCCGTTCCAGCCCTCGCGCACTACATCGCCGGCGGCGAGGAGCTCGTAGACGCGCGCCAGCACGGCGCGCGCGTCGGGGCGCGCCAGCACGCCCGCGCCGACCACCACCAGGGGCCTGGTCGCGGCGCGCAGCGCGGCCACCACCGCGCCGCCGGCCGCGCGCTCCAGCGCGGCCGCGTCGCGGCCCAGGTCCTGCACCGGGAAGGTCAGGTCCAGGGGCGCGCCGATGGAGGCAAAGGGCACGCCGGCCAGCGCCAGCGCGCGCAGGCGCGCGTTGAGCACCGGCGCCTCGGCGCGCGGGTCGGTGCCAACCAGCAGCACGCTATCGGCGCCGTCCACGCCCGCCAGGCTGGGGTTGAAGGTGTACCCCGCGCGCGCGTCGGCCCCCGCCAGCCCGCCGGCGATGCAGCCCTCGGCCAGCGTGTTGCTGGACCCCAGGCGGTTGAGCAGGTCCTTCAGCGCCACCACCGACTCGACGTCGGCCAGGCGCCCCGCCACGCCGCGCAGCTCGTGCCCGCGCGCCCTGGCCAGGCCCTCCGCCGCTGCCGCCAGCGCGCGAGGCCAGGTGGCCGGCTCCAGGCCGCCGCCGGCGCCGCGCACCAGCGGCTGCGACAGGCGCTGCAGGCGCAGCGCGTCCACCTGGAAGCGGGCCTTATCGCTGATCCACTCCTGGTTGATGGCGTCGTTCAGGCGCGGCGTGACGCGGAACACCTCCGGCCCGCGCGCGTCGACGCGGATGGCGCTGCCAAGCGCGTCGCTCACGTCCACCGACTCGGTGGAGGCCAGCTCCCAGTTGCGGAAGGTGAAGGCCGAGGGCTTGGCCGTCAGCGCGCCCACGGGGCACAGGTCAATCACGTTGGCGGACAGCTCGCTGGTCAGCATGCGCTCCACGTAGGTCCCGATCTCCGAGTCCCGCCCGCGCCCCGTCATGCCCAGGTCCTCCACGCCCGCCACCTCCTTGGCGAAGCGCACACACCGCGTGCAGTGGATGCACCGCGTCATCACCGTCTTCACCAGGGGCCCCAGGTTCTTGTCCACTACCGCGCGCTTGACCTCCGTGAAGCGGGAGCGGTCGGAGCCAAACGCCATTGCCTGGCGTATGATTGGGGGGGTGGGGGGTTTGAGGAGGGGGGGGTGGAGAGGAGGGGGGGATTCTGTGGGCCGACGGGCGTGCGCAGGGGCAGAGCTTTTGGGGAGCCATGGGGCCAAAGGCATCAGCCGCCATGTATCGGCCAGGACATAGCACCCGGGCGTCAGGTGGAATGCACGGGAGCACCATGCCCACCTCCAGGGGGAACACCTATGACGGCCATGCGAACCCATGCAGATGCCTTGCCCCACCCCCACCCCCACCTGGTCCTGCAGGTCACACTCCCCTCCCTGGTCGCAGATGGGGCAGTCCAGGGGGTGGTTGATGAGCAGGAACTCCATCACGCCCTCGCGCGCCTTCTTCACCAGGGGTGTGGAGGTCTTGATGTTCATGCCCGGGCCAGCAGGCATGGCGCAGGATGCCACAGGCTTGGGGCTCTTCTCCACCTGCCGGGCATGGAGGAAGGGTATCGGGGTAAGCCCAATGACGGGTCGTAGAGATTGCCCGCAGCGTGCTGGTCAATCACACCAGCGGGTGAATGTGAAGGGACCGAGGACGCAAGCGTTTTGTCTTGGGCCTGACGCGACCGGCTCCCCCAGTGGTCAGGATCCTGGGCCCATTCCGGCCTCGAGGCGCAATACCGATCGCAACACAACCATCCCACCTCTACAAGGCACATGCGGCAGTTGCCGGCGATGGAGAGCCTCTGGTGATAGCAAAACCTGTGCTCCGACAGGGGGACGGGAGGGGTATGCGCGATGAGGCAAAGGCGGCAAGCACGGCATGAAGCATACCGTCTTCGCTAGCTGTTCGTATGTAGCCTCGTGCCAGCCTGCCTTCCCGGATGACGGAGGCCTATCGGCTCACCTGGGGACGTCCACGCCCGCAGCGTCGCAGGCCTGCAGCACGTTGGAGCCCTTGGGCACCTTCACCGGTTTACCATCCACTGTCACTTCGATGAGATCATCTGCAGGGGCGGGGGCAGCTTGGGCGGCCATTGCCCGGCAGGGTACTGTCTCCCAAGAGGAGCCCCTCCGGGAGAAGCGCTGGAGGGCGCGCAGCCGCTGCATGTTGCCAACCACCTGGCGTGCCAATCGGGTCAGCCTACTTGCGGCATGCAGGTGTCAGGAACGTGACCTTGGGGTGGGTGACCAGGACGCAAGCTTATGCGTGTCTCGCTTGGAGGTGCTTCCGTCCGTGGGTGGCGGGAAAGCAGAGAGTAGTAATGCAAGTCGATGACTTGAAAGCATTCCAGATGCAGTAAACTTCACAGGGTAACACTCTTCTGCTTATGCACTGCTGTAATGTTGCTACAACCTTGATGTTGTGTGATGGATGCTGCCTCCAATCTGCGATCTCAGGGTGACCTTTGAGTCTCCTGCGCAGAGAAGGGGGTGGAGTCATGCCATCAGATCGCCCCCCTCCACCATGACTCCACGCATCCGAAAATGTATGGATCATCTCACACAACACGGCGACCACATACACCCAAAAATTGCCGCGCATAGCGTCCAAACTGTGGGGCAAGTGGTACTGCCCGGCAAGCCATACTCACGCACGGCTTGCATGTGGACATCCATAGGTCCAAATTCAAGGTCTTGGTAATGAAGTAAGCTTTGTCCACTGAATGGCACCAGATCGTGGTGGAGAGGCATGGGTTTGTCGAGGCCCAAGATCTGAAGAAGGCGGGTGATGCACCAGCCCCTCGGTAGATACGGAAGAAAAATAATATCCACCACCCGCATTTTTGAGGTCGTCCTGCACCACCGATGCCCTCCAGTATTGTGTGCTTTCTGCTATAGATTGTAATGCAAGTCCACTCCTCCTTTGCTCGATGATAATGTCTCGGTGAAAGGTGCCCGGCTCCATGCTTCTTGGCTCCGTGCCCAGTCTCACCACACATCATGCCCTGGAGGAGACCCCCATGCTGGGGCGTCTGGGGCCCCAGGACGTGAACGTGCTCGTTGTGGACGACGACGACACCTCTCGAACCATAGTCTCCGCTGTGCTGAGGGGCTGCAGCTATCGGGGTGAGCACTGCGTGGTGCCAGCGAGGGCGGGGGGTTGGCAAAGCTGGTCCCGCGTTCACCCCTGGCCTGACGCCGGTCATGGCTGCGCCGGGTGGAAACCTTTTTGTTTGTACCTTCTTCACAGTGAGGACGGCCGGGAGTGGAGCAGAGGCCATCGAGCTTCTGCAGAATGAGGCGCCCGACACCTTCCACCTGGTCCTCTCGGTGAGCGGAAGAGAGAGAGAGAGGTCCCCAGTCGCGCAGGTGTCCAGCTGCTCCACTGCCTGGGTCCCCACCCGACCACATACTCCTTAAACCACCCCTTGGTCTCGTTCTCGAGCAGGATGTTCGCATGCCGGAGATCACCGGGCTGGACCTGCTGTCCTTCATGCAGCAGGACGCCACCCTGTGCAGCATGCCCGTCATCCGTGAGTGTGCAGGCAGCAGGGCCCCTGTATCCGGCAGTGTAGAGCCTCGAGTGCTGCATGGAGGGATGCCCTTGCGGCATGAGATGCTGGGCTGGTGGTCAGGGTTTGCGCCTCCAGCTGTAACTCCCACCCGTGTCCACCCCCTCACCCTTACGCAGTGATGTCGGGCATGGAGACGGAGGGGCTGGTGCATGCCGCGGTGGCGTCCGGCGCGGACGAGTACCTGTCTAAGCCCGTGACGCGCAAGGAGGCCGCGTTGATGTGGCAGCACGTGCTACGCCGGCGCGCGGGCGGGCGGCCACGCGTCCCCAGCCAGGGCACCGCCTCCTCCAGCCTGCCCAGCGCGGTGGGGCTGGACGCCAGCGGCAACGGGGTGGTGTCCTCCGTCAGCCCGCCGCAGGAGCCGGCGGCCGGCTCGACGCAGGGCTTGCTGGCAGACCCCCTGCCCAGCACCGTCTTCAAGTACTGCGATGCGGGGCAGCACCCGACCCTCGGCGCGGCGGCCTCCCTGAGCTCCATCCCCCGGCGCCCCAGCGACGCCAGCCAGGCGATGGTGGACGTCGGGTCCGCGGCCGCCCGCGCCGCACCCCCGCTGCCGTTCGCCGCCGGCGCCCGGCGCGGCGCGCCCACCGCGACCAAGGGCGACGTCCTGGAGGTGCTGTGCGCGCTGCGGCGGACGCAACGTGCCGCCGCTGGCCGGCTGCGGCGCCGGCTGGAAACAGTGGCCAGGGACCTGGAGGCGGCAAAGGAGGAGGCCGGCAGGAGGTGGCCCCAGGCCGGGGAGGAGGACGCCATGCAGACGGCGGCCCCGCCTGCCAAGCGCCGGGCCGTGCAGGCCTCTGATGCACGGCCAGGAGCGGGGGGTGATCGAGTGGTGCCGGGGAGTGAGATCGTCGACCAGGCCATGGAGCAACTTCAAGACCTGTACTTCCAGGACGTCGCCAAAGCTGGTGAGGCGGTTTGGGGTGTTCAGGAGTGCAAGGGCTTGGAGACGTTGGCCTGTTCAGTGTGCACTTGTCGGTATCAAGTGGCCTCTTGTTGGAGGAGCCCTGGATGTCGCAGCATCCCAAAGGGTGTCTTTTGACACACTCTGTCCCCAGTACCCCCTCCCAACCTCCACAGATATCGCAGGCAGCCACAGCGAGGACCTGAGCAAGTTTGCACAAGACCTCGCGGAACTCACCCGCTGCTCGAACCTGGAGCCCGTAGCCACACTGAACAGCGGGCATCTCGGAGGCACGGCCGAAGTGGTGAGAGTGGGAGGTGGTGGTGTTTATTTTCGAGTGTCAGTTTCACATCCCTTGGGATGTGAGAGCGATTCGACGAGTTGTCGGATATATACGCCTTTATTTCCCTTTCTCTCATCAAATGCGTGAATCTGCGAGAAGTCCGGGGTTCAAATCCTCGCAGCTCCAGTTGGGCATTTCGGCTACAGGACATGTAGCTTCCCACCATCCTTCGGGGTTGTGACGCAGTGGTAGCGTGCTCGCTTCGCATCTTCTTTTCAAGTTTTTACCATTTCATCCAACCCACCTACCTGTTCTCCGTGCTCAGATATGCGCGGCGGCTTTCGATGCCTACGAGGAGCACTTTGCCTCTGTGGGGGTGTCCCGTGTGATCCGGGTGTACGACTTCCACGCCCTCCTGGCCAACCCCAGCGCCCTGCAGTACCCCATCCTCCAGCTGCACACCCGGTCGCGCCTTAGCAGCCTGTCCTGGAACAGCTACCTGCCTGGTCGCCTGCTCACCGCCGACTTTGACGGCGGGGTGCAGCTGTGGGACGTGGGCACCGGCGCCGACCTGAACTTCTTCGAGGAGCACAGCCGGCGCGTGTGGAGCGTGGACTTCAGCCGCACCGACCCCTCCCGCTTTGCCACCGCGGGGGACGACGCCTGTGTGCGGCTGTGGAGCACGGGCGACGAGACCAGCGTGGCCACCATCAACGTCCCCGCCCCCGCCTGCTGCATTGAGCACCGGTGAGCATATGTGTGTGGGGGGGGGAGGGTGGATGAGGTAGAGAGACTGAGACTGGTGGTGATAAGCGGAAAGCTTATTAACAAGCTGGTGCTCTGTGGCATTTGCAGTGCTTCCTGGCTGTGCAGAAAGACCTACGGCCCATCTTGCTGCGACTCGCTCTGCCAGCCTTGCGCCAACCCTCACGATGGGCATGCCTCCCTGCTCCCTGCATCGACTCAGACAACCATCCCCCTCCCACCAGGCCGGACGACAACACCCAGATCGCGGTGGGGTGCGCCGACGAGCGCGCCTACATCTACGACCTGCGTGCCACGCAGGCCCCCCTTGCCGTCCTGCGCGGCGCTAGCCGTGCCGTGTCCTACGTGCGCTGGTCCGGCCCGGACCGGCTGCTGGCTGCCTCCACCGACTCGGCGGTACGCCTGTGGCAGGACCCGGGCGGCGCGGGCGCCGACGCCGCTGCGCAGCGGCCTGCGGCCGTGTACCGGGGCCACGCCAACCAGCGGGGTTTTGTGGGCCTAGACGCGCGGCCCGACGGCCGCTTCGTCGTGGGCTCAGAGACCAACGCAGGTGGGTGCGGGGCGACATCGAGGGGGGGAAAAGGTGCTGGGATGTCAGATTAGTGTTTTGTTTGGGAGCCCCGCATCATGTACGCAACCTCACCGTCACACCCTCCCCCCCCACCCACCCACACAAGCAGTGTATGCCTTCAGCCGCGGCCTGCCCTTCCACACGGCCTGCCACAGCCTGGAGGGCGGGGACGCTCCCGGCCAGCGCACGGCCTTCACCACCAGCGTGGCCCTGGCGCGGCGCAGCCGGCACTGCCTGGTGGCCAACAGCCGCGGCGTGCTCCAGGTGCTGCTGCAGAGCTGACGGTCGCAACACCTGCCTTGTGACCGCCTGCCGCGCCGATGCACAGCGCGCTCCGTGCCCCAGGATACCTCAGCGATGTCTGGAAACCAGGAGAAACCGCCACACACTGCTTTCCATTTTTACACAAGGCCCCTGTAGTCCAGGCCGTCCTCACTGGGCCTCCCCCTCTTGTCCCCGGCTGCCCCCTTTCGAACGGCTCCCTTTTCCCCCCGGGTGCTCATCCAGTGGCGTATGTAGCGCACTGCAAATCTGCCCTGTTCCCTGTCACTGCTGTCCGCGATTGTCTGCAAGGGAAGAATGAGCGTATGCATGCCAGGGCAGGGGATGAAAGGTCAGGTGGGCAGGGCATCCAGGCAGGAGGGGGAGTGGGGAGACTGCAGGTTTCTTGGCCCGGTGGCCCACCTCCGCATCCGACGCACGTCATGCTGACTAAAATGTGGCCTCTGTCGGAGACTGGTCAGCCCCCCCCCCTCACACCCCTTCACCGCTTCCGTCAGACGTGGGTGCTGGTCGAGTACCGCCGCCCCGCCTGGCGGCTGCCGGGCTGGGGCACCTGGGCAGGCTCGCCCTCAGGCGTGGTGATGGGGAGGGGGCGCCGCATGGGCGCGGGGGGCAGAGGCCCCACGCCCCCGGGCCCCATGGCCCCGCCCGCCATGCCCGGGTAGCCAAAGCCGCCGGTGTAGAGGGGGTAGGGCGCGTCCATGTGCAGCAGGGGCAGGTCGGCCGGCAGCCCCTGGGCGGCGCCGTGCTGGGGCGCAAACGCCGCCTGCTGCCCGGGGCCCGGCGCCAGCGGCATCCCCACGTAGCCGTACGGCCCCAGTCCCGGCGGCGGCGCCAGGTCCAGCGCGGACCCGCCGCCGCCGCCGAGGTCGACGCCCGGCGTGCCGAAGACGTGCTGCGGGAAGGACCCTGGGGCCAGGGGCAGGTATGTTCCGCCAGCGGGGCCCACGAACATGGGGCCGCCCGCCTGGGTCCCGGCCGCGCCGCCGCCGGGCGCGCCCGCCGCCCAGAACTCGTCAAAGGCGGGGTCGGAGGGGACCCCAGACCCGCGCACTTCGGACCCCGCAGACCCGGGGCGGAAGCCGGGGGCCTCGGCGCTGAGCCGGCTCGCGCCGCTGCTGGGCCGCAGGGGCGGCGTCGGCCCCGCGCGGTAGTCGACCTCGGGCCGGGGCTCCGCGCGGGGGCCGCCCTCGGGCCGGCGCTCCGGCCCACGGCTGCCCACGGGCGCACGCCGCCCATGGCCGCCGCCGCCGTGCGCCGTGTGGCTCCCGGGCCCGGCGTCGCCCGTGAAGGCGCCGTGGGGCCCCTCCCCGCCGGCGCGAGCGGTCGCCACGCCGGCCCCATGCAGGGCGCCGCCGCGACCGGCGTGGGGCGTGTGGGCTCCGCGCCCTGCGCCGCCCCTGGCCGGCGTCCTCGACCGCGCCTCTGAGCCTTGGGGCGGCCAGGCCAGGGGCGGAGGCCGGGGCACGGTGACGACCCTCCCGGCGGCGCGCGGTCCGCCAGAGGTTGGGACCCCATCCTGCGCCTGGTGCTGCTGCTGCCGATGCGGCTGGGGCCCCACTCCCACCCGGCCCTCTGCGCGGGGCCGGGGGGGAAGCGGGCCTCTGCCGCCCCGCCCCCGCCCCGCTCCTCGCCCCCGCCCGCCGCGCCCGCCGCGCGGGCCGCCCGCGCCGGCGTCGCGGAAGCCGGGCGCCGGCTGTTCGCCGCGCTCCAGGGCCTCGAACCCGTCGTGCACCCATTTGTCCCTGGAGGTCGGGTCCCAGAGCAGCCCCGGCGCGGCGTCGGGCCTGCGGGGTGTCGGGGGCGGGGCGGTGAGACTCGGGACGTTGGAGACCTGTTGCGCCCTGGGGAGGGACACGGAGCGAGCTCTGTGGCACACGGGAAGCCCAGCTTGCCAGGCTCCGCACCCAGGTGCCAGCGATGCCTGCGAGCCTCAGACCGCCCCAGAAACGCTGCGTCAGCCCCTGGTCTCGGCACGCGGCCCTCCTTACTTGAGCGAGGTCTCCGACGTGTCCCTCGCCTCCGTCTGCCCCGTCTGTCCAAATGCCCTGCCGCGCCGAGGCACCTCGCCCTCCCCGCCCCCAAACCGATCGTCGTGCAGCCAGAACTGGCCGGTCTGAGGGACGTCGAATGGCTGCAGGCGGGGGCGGGGCGGAGGTCGCTTGGGGGGCTCGTCCATGTCCTCCTCCTCAATGCCAGAGTCGTCAGAGGCTGTATCAGCATCGGGGTTGTCCTCAGAGTTAAAGGCAGCGCTGCCCTCGGCATCAGTGGTCGGGCTCTCCTCGGTGGCAGAGGCGCGGCTCTCCTCATCAGCGGACGCAGGGCTCTCCTCATCAGCGGACGCAGGGCTCTCCTCATCAGCGGACGCAGGGCTCTCCTCATCAGCGGACGCAGGGCTCTCCTCAGCAGCAGAAGCGGGCTTCGCCTCAGCTGCAACGACGGAGTTCTCATCACTGACAGGAGCTGGGCTCCCAGCGGCACCACATGCAAGGCTCTTCTCCACGCCAGGCGCTTCCACCTCCCCAGACGACGGCGCGCCCACGCTGGGTGCCTTGCCTTGCACCTCCCCCGTTGTTGAGACTGCAGGGGCGGCATCATCTCTTTGAACGGCTGCAGCGGGAGAAGACTCACTGGCTGTCCTTGGCGAGCTGGTCTTCATTTCAAGACGTCCTATACCCTCCGCCAGCTCCTCCGCAGCATCAGCCTGCGCATCGTGTTGAGAACATTGTGGAGATTTGCAGGCAACACGACCACAACCCAGACCTCCTATCGCTCACATCCATGCGGTGGGTGGCAGCAACAACAAACTGCCAGCCTATTATGATCACCCAGCTGTGCACCATGCTCAAGAGCCTGGAGCCCATGTCAGATCCTCACTACCACCCTCAGCACCTCCTGCTGACCTGGGGGGCTTCCTTGGGGATGCTGTCGGACTCGGCCTCTTCAATGAGGCTGTCGGCATCCGAGAAGTCCTCTGTCTCGTCTGCCACATCATTGACCTCTGCCTCGTCATCGCTAGCTGCGTCGCGCTTTGCTACCGGAAGTGCCATGCCGACCTTCTGAGACGCAAAAGGAGTGTGTGAGATTGAACTCGTCATTGCGAGATTAGTGAATTGAAAGCATTCCAATCAGTGAGGGCACACCATCGGCATCGACTCACTTGAACTGAGTGGGCAGGTCTGAATCCGCAAGCCACTCTCCCGATTTAAATGTGGATTGATCGCGTTGGGTGTTCTTGGATCCGCTCCCACAAGCTAAACGCGCCCCGTAAGCTCCAGAGTTCCTCCAAGCTTGGGACGGACGAGCCGGCAGAGCCAGGCCACGCTCCCGTGCGGCGGGACAATCCTTGAGAGCGATGCTTGCACGACGTAAAGAAATTGAATCGAGAATTAGTATGCACAGCAGTTTGGAAGGCGATGTATTGCGGCAAAGATAAGCTGAAATTCCACGGCCTCCCCAGAGTACGGGGTCCAGCGTGGCACGATGGACGAGCCTGCATTCCCCGGAAATGCTCTGGGCGATGTCCCACTGCCCCCCCAACCCCCCAACCCCCAACCCCCCACCCATAGATCGATCTAACAGGAGATCTACAAATACGCTTCCTCCCAGTCTATTGAGCTCGGTTTGTATCACTGGACACGGACTGCCACTCCTGGACGGAGCCCCTCCCTGGCGACACCCTTGAAGTGCCACCTGCATCATGCTGCGGCAAATGGCCAGCTCTGCCATGGGGCGAAGGCTTTCTGGCGCTCGGTCCTGCCGGTATGGCAGCGCCGCGCCCTCCGTCTTCGACAAGATGTGAGCAGCTAGAACTGGCCCCGCATGTGCCGAGGGGCAAGGGACACCGACCCTTGCTGCACCCTTGGCTCCTGGACCCTCGCCGACCCTGTACTCTATCACTTGCACAGTGTTCAGCTTACCGTAGTGGATAAGGAGGGCCATCGCCACGTTCTCCGGGGCCTTGAGGGCCAGACGGTGGCAGACGTCCTGCAAGGTCACACAGATATTCTTGGAGAGGATGGTGAGTCAAGATTCCGTTCCCTCCAGAGATGTCTTGGAGTCCAGCACACACTGGGTACATTGGATGGGGTACACGCTGGAAACACCAACTCATCTCTCTGCGCCCCATCCCCCACGCACAGTGCTGGCACTGTCTCCTAGTGTACCGGACCAGCTGGAGGCACACATCAAGGTAACCGGGGAAGGTTGTTACCAAAATGGTCTAAAAGCGGTGCTGCGGTCTGGACCCGACCAGATACAGGTCAAGCTCTTTGTCCCACACGCGATTTCATGTGTGTTTGCGTGTAGGGACGCGGGTAGTAGTCTCTCAACCCGAATGGCATTCCTTGTTGCCTCGGCAGTGCACGACCCGGGCTAGCGCTGGGGTGCGCGTCGGTCCCCAGCCGTCATGTGGAGGTCGCCGTGTAGACTGTAACAACACTCCCAACTGGCACAGATCCCCACTGAGCTGTTTGACACATTCCCTGCCCCATCTGAGGAGGTTGCTCGTCAGTTGACCCAGGTGGCTGCCCCTGCATCTATTGATATCCAGTGAGTCTGAGTCTGGAATATGCTGGGCTCGTTTACTTGGACCTACACTGTGGCCAGCTGGAGGGAAGAGGGAGCATCAGGAAGTGTTGAAACTCTACCTAACATGTGCAGGCCCATCTTCTGTCCAGCTCATGAGACCCACCACCGTCCCCTTTTCTAAATCCTTGCCACAGCTCACGCCTGGCAAGCAACATCACCCTCAGCTGCAAGACTGGAGACATTTTGGTGTCCCTGGGGGATCTCGCGCCGTGGAAGACCCTGTGACTGGAGCCGGTATGCCTGCCTGCTCCCTAGCTGCTGGTAGAAGATGCCCTGGTGTCAGACTGCCAGTGGTATTGCAAACGAATGATTTTCAACGCTTTTGAGCGGTGGACACGGCACACAAAGGCCAGCGACAGTAGGTCAGCGGTCAGTGGCTCCCTGATGCTGGTACGTCGGCCCATAAGCATTGCATCAGTCCAGGACAATCTCCCACTATTCCAGAGTCGTACTGGCCGGACTCCGGGGGTGGCCTGATGAGGAGGCTGGCACCTCACTTCCCTGCCTCTGGCCTGGTCTCCTGTTGGTGACAAGCAGGGTCAACCTTGTCCCACGGGCACATTGCTAAGTCCCAGAGTCTGTGCTGACACTTGCCAACTTCTGTGTATGAGTGTTACACATGGATAACAGCTCAGGAAGCCTTGCTGAGATCCAGCACACCAATAAAATCGTTGGTCAAGGAGCCCATGTACAGCCAGCCATCGCGCTCCACCACCGAGGTGATGCTGCCAATGACGTGGGCGTCAGGGTCCACCAGCAGATCCAGCACCTTGCCTTCTGGGGAGATCTGTGGAGCACAGGGAGGGAGGGTGGGTGGACACCTACAGATCAGACAGCTTCAAGGACACGGATATATTCAAACCCAAGGGCCCCATGGCACTGTACTAGACATCACCCAGTAGCACCAACACAGGGCGTTGTGAGTTCCCCAGATCGTTGCCCTGGTACCGACGGGCCTCCCACCTTGAGGGCCGCGCCCATGTGCTTGATGGGGACGGGGAGGAAGTGGGAGAGCCAAGCCAGGGCCCAGCGCACAGAGCGCGAGCGCACACTCCAGTTGATGACGGGGAGGTGATCGGTGATGAGGGCCACCCAGAAATTGCCGTCGGGCGCCCGGCTCACACCGTCTGGATACCCGGGCAAGCTGTGCACCAGGATCTCAGTGGTGCCGGCCTGGCATGAGGAGGAGGTGGGGGTGAGTGTTTTCGGGGCAAAGGGTGGTCAGGGGGGTGGGTGTCTCAAGGGCAAGGGTTGAGTGGGGTGGCAAGGCTCCAGGCGTTGGAAGACAGTGGACCCTCAGGCCGCCTCAGAGCTAGGGTCATGAGTCAGGCCTTTGCTTGGAATTGGGGGCAGGATCGGAGTCCCGTGGCAATATGACAGTCTGCTATTATCACCAGCATTGCACCTCCCAGGACTCTGTGCCCTTCACGACACTTGGGGCAAGCAGCCTGCCCCACTTGCATGCCGCCATGCTTCTCGATCCCACTTTCACCCGCTGCAGGCACCCCATGCGATCCAAATCCCCCCCTCCTCGAGCACCTTGGGCCCCGCCAGCCAGTGCTTCAGGATGCGGGCCGTGACCGTCTCCGCCACCACAACGAAGCTGCCGTCCGCCGCCAGGGCCACGCCGTTGGGGAACCAGAGGCCGTCTGCCAGCGTACTGGTCTCCCCCGACCCGGCGTGCCAGCGCAGCAGACGCCCGCTGGGCGCGCCCTGCAGCACGGTGAGCACGTAGGAGCGCATGGTGTCATAGCGTCCGGCCCGCCCAAGCGCGGGTGGGATGGCCGAGGCGTCGGAGAACACCACGTCGCCGCCGAGGAGGATGTCCAGGTCGTCGGCGTAGGCAATGGGGGAGAAGGAACCGGGTGCGGCGCCCGGCACGCTGTTGGCCAGGAGCTGCTGGGCCCGGGCGCCATCTGGCAGCCGCGTCAGGCCCTGGCAGAGGAAAGTAGGGGGAGAGGGGGGTTAAGTTAGGGAGAGAGTGGATCAAAGTCTGGGCTAGTGGCCATGTGAACAGGCAAGCTGAGTAGCACCTGGCCAAAAGAGCCCCGCCACCACCCCACCCCAGCCTCTGCGACAGGTCTGGATGTGGGAGCAATGCCATCCCTCTAAAACCCATTTTCCACCACACCAGGAGGCTGTTGCAGATGTACAGGTCATCGTCGCCGTCCAGGTGGAACCCCAGCGGGCGCCCAGGACCCAGGTAGGCCTGGGGCTGGGCGTCGATTGTGATATCCAGGGGTTGCCGCGTGCTCCCATGTGCGACCTTGAGGTAGCCGCTGCCGTCCAGCAGGTAGACCGTGCCGTTCCTGGATACAGCGATCGACTCTGTGGCAAGCAGGGTTGGGAAGTCAGCTCATGGGCATGTCTGACAGGAGCCCAACAACCTGATGTCACTAGCGTTTGGGTTCCAGAGTCCCAGTGGGGATATTTATCTACAGATGCACGTTGGGAATCAGGAAGCCCCATGTGGCACTCGACGACCGCAGGGAGCGACGGGGCTGCAGACCCACAATGGGTGACTTCCTATTACCAATTCAAGCTTCCCCAGCGTTTCGATATGCAAATAGGTACGCAAAATAACATAATCTGACGAGGCACCATCTTCAGCCTCTCCATCACCCACCTGATCCCTTGATCTGGCCCTCAAACAAGCGCTTGGACTGCCGCAGCCTCGTGTTCTTGGCAAACTCGCCGGTCCATGGAGCCGGCACCGGGTACTTGGCAGGGTCGACGTCGACGATGGGGAGCAGGCATGGTAGCGGGAGCTTGGTGAAATCGACACCTTCATTTCATCAAGGATGAGAGGGTGTGCGCCGATCGACACTACAATGGTCTGTCTGCCTCGGGTCTCGGTAGTGGCCCGGCTTCCTCTCACCCTTGATCAAGATGGCCGATCCTGCCGCCAACAGGAACGCCAGAAGAAGGCTTCTGACCATGGATAATTGCTTATGACCGTAATTTCTCTGCTTTTGATATCGATTGATTCCACCACATGATCTAAATCGTACTCACTTCATTCCGACACTCCCGGAAACCAGCAGAAATCAACAGGGTTTCTCCTACTCAGCCTTTCTTGTGGGAATATTCATGTCCCCCCAAACAGCTGTAACCACATAGCGGTCTTGTGAGAGACATCAACACCAAGTCCCTTCCCGAGATGTATGGACGGCTGCGATTGCAAAGCTTGCTTGGCTCAGGTTTGACTCGAGCACAGGGCCATCCACTGTGTTATTCAAGCCTTGTGGCCAGGGGTAGTGGCTAGCAGCGCGACAGTACAAGTGCAGTCGCCATATCCCTCAGTCCATCAGCTTGGACCTGAAACGAGCCAGGCGATTGCTCATGCTGGCACCGCTCCTCTGCGGCGAGCCCTCCAGGGGGGCCCGAGCGGCCCCACTCAGCATGCCCTGCACGGCCGCCTCGGCCTCGGCCAGGGAATAGCGCTCGTACTTGGACCGGCGACCCTTAGTGAAAGGCACCCCCTCGTACTTTGTGAAGAAGGCGCGGTAGGCGGGGAGGAAAGCGGCCCCCACCTGCTCCCGGACTCGCTTCTGCCAGACGATGGACTCCACGATGCCCTGCAGATGCAGGAGGAGGGACTGGTGTGTGATTGGGGTTTGGGGCGGGATGGAAGGGCGATCAGGGGCTTGCGCCTGAAACTGGGATCGTACGGGGGACACCATGCAAATACAGGAATGGTAAATGCATGCGCGAGGGTCATCTGGCGTCAAGCCACAGCTTCCCACAACTCACTGGGTGGCTGGTGAAGGTGTCAAGCGCGGCGTTCACTGCAGTCCAGACCGTCTTCACGGCAGCCCTCTGCGCATCAGGCAGGGCGGCCGCCCCACGGAGCTGCTGGCTGGAGTCCGAGCTCAGGGCGCGCAGGGCTGGCTGCCAGGCCACCGACACGTACCGCTCAGCATACCGCGCCGCCAGGTCCTGGCAGGGGGTGACAGGGGGCACAATGGATGCAAGGGGGGTTGTGGGGTTGGTTCATGGGAGCACAAGAGATCCACTTCTCAGAGCAGACAGGTGCCCCGGCGCGGTGGACAGCGCAGGAACCGATTGTTCTACCGATCAGCCCCATCCCAACGCAGACTTTGCCGTGGCCTGCAGCCCCACCTTGCGATCTGCGAGCCACGCCGCGGCGAGCTGGGCTGTGCCCTCGGTGCGCTGCAGCTGAGTTGTCAGGGCCACGGTGCAATTGAGGAGGTGCACCTCCGTCAGTCCAGAGGCCGCAGGGTATGCTGCTTTGGCTGTGCTCTCCAGGCTGTCAACCAGGCCGTCTGCGGGGGAGAACAGGGGTTTGGTGGGGTCTTTTTAATGCATGCCTGGCATGGTGCACACCCGCACATTCACCTCGCAGGTGCACCCACGGTCGAAGGCTTGGCACGGCAGGAGCACTGCGGGGAGCGTGCCACCATGTCCAGTCTCGAAGAGCACCAGCGTCCTGACTCCCAGTCCTTCAGGTCACACAAACACAGGCATCACCGAGGACGGCAGAGACCGTGGCCGACAGGCTGGCCGTCTTGCCCTGGGCCAGCAGCAGGCCCCCCAGTTCAGGCAGCGAGGCGAGGCGGCGCAGCGCTTGCACCGCCTCGCCCACCGCCGCGTGGCAGGCAGCCGTGGCCGGGGGTGGGGAGGGCAGGGAGCCCGTCCCTCCCTTCTGCTGCAGGAACGTCCAGGTTCGGGAGGCGCCGCCGAGCACCTCCTGCTGCAGCGCCGCCAGGGAGGGGGAGGGGGAGGATGCCGAGCCGCCATTGTTGGCAGGGCCGGGACCAGGGGAAGGAGACTGCTGGCCAGGTACTGTGGGTGGGTTGGGGGGTTTTGGGGGCAGGGCTGAGGTGGACACGCTGTGGGTGAAAGGAGCTTGAGCACAGGGTCAAGCACCGGAGCTTCGGCAGATGTCAAGGACACTAGCCTCGGCCAGTCCCAAACCTACAGGGCATCTGTGTACCACCCCCCTTCTCCCTGCATGGCGAACGGCATGCGCCTCCAACACCCCAGCTCACGCTGGAACAGGGTCAACAGGGGAGGGATGACGGCCCGCGCAGCCGCCGCCACCTCTGCCAGGTCCGCAACCTTGGAGAGGGAAGCCTGTACGCCCAGCAGGTCGCGCACCTGGCCCTTGACCCCGACGATCAGGGGGCCCACAAGCGCACTCAGGGCCTGGCAGGCGCCGGCGGCGCCCAGGGTGTCGCTGGCGTTCTGGCTCTCTTCCTGTGCGATCTCCCCCAGGGCACGCAGCGTCGCAGCCACCCTGCGGCGCAAGCGTGGGTGGCAGAGTTAAAGTAGCTGCTGCGTGCCTGATCATGCCAGTCACGCAGCAGACACTGCTCCCTTCATGAAAACCAAGCTGCCTGAGGGACCCTCCCTTTGCAGTCCCTCGCTGTTGGGACGAAAACATGCACGACAGGCACCGCCAAAGCCTGCCCATGCAATCCCATCAGCCCTGGCCGTGCGTGTCCGAGCAAACACCATCACACGGCCCCCCTGCCTGGGTGTCATTCCCGCATACCTCTGGCCAGGTGGCCCGGCCTCAGCTTTCCCAGCAGCTTCCAGACCAGCGGCCACCGGGCCCCGTCTCGCTTCGGCATACAGCGTGGAAGGGCCCTGCTCGTCCCCAGCACGGACCAGGGCCTGCACGAGGGCTGCAGCCTCGGCACCGCTGCCGCCAGTCCTGAAAGCTGCTGCCAGGCCGGCTCGGGCGGCCGTCAGGCCCTCCTGCCGGAGGGCTGCCGCTGCCTTCACCTCGCTCGCCGAAAGACCAGGCGCACCGCTGTCCAGCGCTGCCCGCAGGGAACTGGCCGCAACATGGACAGCTTGCAGGGATGCCAGGAAAGCCTCTCCTGCCGCAGGGCCCTTGCCGATGCTGGTCCGGTGCTGCCGTGGGAAGTGCAGATGATGTGTGAGGGCCAGACGCAGGATCCCACACCAATGTCTCAACTACACTCGCATTATCATACGCAGCAAGACCACGCCTCACCGCTCTGATCGTGGCGAGGTGTTTGGGAATGTCCTGGGGTCCTGTGAGCAGGGGGCCGGATGGGGTGCGTCCCAGGACAGGACTGATGGCGGACGTCACAGGCTTCAGGACATTATCGAGATCTGAGAGGCGTTTGAGACATGCGTCGATGGCGACAAGTGTCTGGGAGGTGGCCACGTCGCAGGAAGCCAGGGACGCCCGCAAGTGATCCGGGAAGAGGGCCGGGGACACCTCCATCATCCCTCCCGGATCCTCAGGTGCACGATACTACTTGAATATTCATTTGATAGAATGAACATCGAGTGGACTGGATATAATGTTAATCGGGGGTTATCACCCGGTCAACACTTCTGCTTGCGTGCATGCTAGCGCGCCCAAAAAGTGAATGCTGATGCCATCTGCATCAATTGCAAGGAGATCGATGCACAGGGCACAGACAATGGTCGACCAGGTGACATTGCTGGATCACTACTATATCTGCTGGACAACAGGAGCATTGGGGCGTGCATACTGCAGGAATCTCATGCACTGCTCACTCCTTTTACGAACCCCAGCCAGGACTGGTGAAGTCGTCCGGCTTCAACAATGCTTTGAAGACAGCACTCCCGGTGACTATGGGCTTTGCAGGCTTGCCAGCTGACACCTTTGACGCCTTCTTACCGGCTTTGCTGGTCTCGAGGCGTGCCACATCCACTACTTTCACCACACCTGCCAAAAGTCAAAATGGGATGAGGTAAGATGCTTGGTGCAGGGGACTCATGGGTGCATGCTTGGCTTGTGCATTGCCTAGGCCTGATCCTTGCAAGCATGCACCGAAAAGTTCCACTTGACGTACCAGTACGGGCTACAGCCTGTAGCCTCTCCTCCTTGTCGGGCGCCACCGCTCCTCCTTTCTTCTTTGGCTCGACAAACGCCACCGCATCATCGCCTTCGCTCTCATTGCCCTCTGTTTGAGCAGGCATCTTGGGTGGAGGGCGGGCATGGGCTGCTTTCTTCAACGGCTTGCTGAGGCTGGCTACAGCAGCACCCTTGTCTCCAGGGCTTGGTGCTGCGTTTCCTGAAGGCTCTTTTACTTTTTTCCTCTTTGCTTTCACTGACGCGTCAACCTCCTGTTGGTCCAGCTCAGCCCCTGCAGCCTCCTGGACGGCCTCACCCTTCCTCTTCTTGGCTTTCTCCTTCTCCACTTTGGCTGTAGCTGAGCTCCGAGCTCTGCAGGAGAAGAAGTTGAGAATGTTTCCTGGTTTGGGCCAAAGGTCTGATGAGGAAGCCCACAGGCATAGTTGTACATGCTGGCATGATTAGTTCATGCCATACAGTAGCAGAACGAAAAACAGACACAGACTTGTCTCCAGCAAACCTTGCAAGGCAAGACAGTGGGCACCCATTCCCCAGACCTCACGTCAATGTACAGCATATGCAGCCAAGCAACAAATTCTCACCCACCCTGACTCTGTGCCTTTTCGTGCCTCTGTCGCTGCCTCAACCGCTCGCCGTTCCACGCTGGATTTTGCAGAGAGCCGCTGCCCATCCAGAACCTGCAGATGTAAGAATGAGGTTTTGAGTCGTCCTGCACAACAGTAGACCTTGCGAGTCCAGTGGCCTTCGAGACTATTCAGCCACTGCTCTTCTGCTGGCAGCAAGAGTTGCACATAATTATATTCCCGCAGGTGCCAGGGCTGCATGCACTCTCCTTAATTTCCCCACACCCCTTGTTGACTCTCAGTGGCCCCACAGAATCCTCTGCAGTACCTGCAGCCTTGGCAGGAGGCCTTGCACATGGGACCTGTAGTTCTCCAGGGCCGCAACTGGGCAGCCCTTTAAGCTGAGCTGGCGCAGGGCAGGAAGGCCGGCCAGGGGCTGCAAGGCATCCAGGGAGGCAATCGGATTGGACCCTGCTTCCAAGGTCCTCAGGCTGGCCAAGGCGCTGAGGTCAGCAGGGAAGCTGGTGAGCTTGTTGTGATTCAGGCGCAGCTCCTTGAGTTTGGTGAGGTGGCTGCACGTGTCAGTATGCAAAGAGCACGCGGATATTTGTACATGTGCCTGGTGCTGGGTTTGGTACCGCGGCACAATGGTGCACAAGCACGGTGTGCTTAGCGCCGCCCTTCGGCCCACATACAAAGACTCTGCAGACATTGTTCAGATGCTCCAGGATCAGGGGTCTTCCAGTTGGCTCTCCGCACGTCCAGTTCCCCAAGCAGATGTCATGCCTGTTTCCCACCCCCCCACCCCCCCACGACTGACCTAAGAGCGTTTCCGAGGTCGGTTAACATGTTGTGGGACAGTTGCAGCTTCTGCAGGGGACCCGCCCCTGCCAACCAGCCCGACACACTCGCGACCGCGTTGTGGGACAGGATGAGCGTGTTGAGCTCCTTGCAACGGTCCAGCGCCCCCACCAGGGTGATGGCGTTGTTGTTGGCCACCAGGGCCTTCAGCCGGCTGAGCCTGCCTAAACCCACCTTCCCAGATAAACGGTTGTTGGCGATGTTGAGGACCTCCAGAGAATCGCAGGACCGCAAGGGTTCGATGCTCTCCACCTGGTTCCCGGCTAGGGAAAGCCAGCGCAGGGCAGGCAGCGCAGCTATGCCGTCGGCGGACGTAAGGCCATTGTCGGAGGCGTCCAGCCGGGTGAGGCCGGTGCAGGACTCCATGCCCACGACCTGCATGGATTACAAGGGGAAGCAAAACCGGATTAAATGTCTTACCGCATAAGAACAGGGGTCCACATCCCCCCGTCCCGCTCCCCATGCTCACCGTTTTGATGCCACGGCCGGCGACATCGAGCCGCTGCACTGTTCCCAAGCTCTCCCCAGGATGCAACTGGCTCACGAGAGCAGGCGTGAGTTTAGACATGTTCCTAATTATGCTCCAATGAGTTCGTGCTTCAAGGGAGGTTAATGATGGAATGCAGTTGTGCGCTGTGAGTCCGGCCAGGATACTCGCGCCCAGGCCTTGAGCCAGCTGCTCGGGACACGCCCGAGCTCAAATCTACCAATAAAACCGACATCTCCTCTTGACGCATTAAACACCGAAACTCGAACTGATCGCTCATAAACATATAATTCCTGTCATCGTGAACACTTTGTAGACCAGCGGACGCTGACATGGTCATGGTGTACAGGACCGGCGCCGGGCCGACGAGTCGGTCCCGGAGGCATTCGAATACCGCCGATGGCAAGGCCAGAGCGCACATCCATTCTCTGGGGAGTACAAGTAGCTTCCATGCCTTGGCGTCACGCATTTCTAGGTGCTCGGGGCCTTCGAGACCTACCTCCGCTAGGTCGTGCAGTCGCATGGCTCGTGCGCAGAAGAGCTCCAGGTGGGGCACATGCAACGTTCCGCAAAGGATCGCAATATTTTTGTGGCGCATGATAGGCTGTATCAAGCGCACAAAATACTTGTTGGCGCCAGGTCGCATCAACCCCGACGTTTGCAGATGTACATCGGCACCATAACAACCCTCGCAGGTCCATGACGGCGCAGGCGGGTCGATGGCCTCACCCTGCGGGTCTCACCCCCGGACAGGCGTGAGTCAAGATCATGCCGGCTTCAGTTGTGCCCTCTTACCATGACGGATCGCAGTCGCATCCCCCCTGACACACTGCCATCCCGCACCTCGCAGGGAGTTTCAGGTCGCCTTCGACAAGGGGTACCTGGAGGCCACGCCATGCCCCCAGGGACAGTTCCTGGAGCTAACACATGGGAGCATACCAGAGGGCTTGGTGTGCACCTACTTCAGGTAGGCGCGGGAAGCAGGCTATGGAGCTGCAACTCATCAAGGGGATCATGGACCATGTCACTGACCTGCCAGGCTTCCAAATTAGATATTCTACAGTCGAACCTGAAGATGCAAAGCCGGATGACAAGCTGGATGGTATGGCCCAGAGGGATCCTGCACAATTGAATAACAACCGCGAACTCTAATTTTCTGCATCCCCGCCCCCTCTGCCTGATATACATCCACAGCAACGGGCCAGGCAAGTTCCAGGTCGGCGGCCAGGCTATCGGTCACCCGCTGGACGGCGACGGCTTCATCTCATCCATCTCTGTCAAGGGCGGCAAGGCCTTTTACCGCTCCGACTTTGTGCAGACCCCAGAGTGCGTGGCCTGGGCAGGGCGCGACAGGGTGCTCGGGAGCTGGCAAGGGTATGGTGGTGTTTGGTTCCCTTTGAGCGCCCCAGAGCCCATGCACGCGCATATCCTGAGCGCCATAGGGCGCATGACAAGCCCCTGAGGAGCGAACCAGCCTGCTCCCAGCCAGCACCGGCGCATCGCCGTCGATCAATCAACCCGTCTTCCTCCCTGAAACCCCTGGGCCCTCACCCCTGCACGCCTGTCCCCTTTCCATTAACACAATCCCTGAACCCAACCCGTCAGGCACGTGGCCGGCAAGATCCTGAAGCGCGGCCAGTTTCGGGGCACCTTTGGCACCCAGCGCGCCGGCGGCCCGCTGAGCAACCTGCTGGACCTGCACGTCGCCAACACCTCCAACACCAGCGTGGTGGACTGGGGCGGCCTCCTCCTCTCCTTCTTCGAGGGCGGGCAGCCCTACGCGCTGCACGCCGACACGCTGCGCACGCTGGGCGTCGCCACACTGGGCGGCGCGGTGCGCGAGGGCCTACCCATCGACCTGGGCGGCCTGACTCTGAACGCGGCCTTCAACGCCCTGCACCGCCTGGTGCAGCGCAGCGTGGGCTCCTGGGCGCACCTGCACCCGCGCCAGATGGCCGTCGGTGCGGGTTCTGGGGGGAAGGGGGGAGGGGGGCAAGGAGGGCTGCGCATGGCTGCAGGCCTCCGCCGCCCCGCCCCGTGGACCACCGCCGGCCCCGCGCCAGCCTCACTTTGCACACACCGATCTCGCTGCGTCTCATGTCCGTCTTACCCCCCCTCCCACCCACCACACCACCCCCTCTCCACAGGCGGGGAGGCGGTAACCGCGCACCCCCATGTGGACCCGGCGGTGCGGCGCCTGGTGAGCTTCAAGTACAGCGTCTCCCCCCGCGACCCGGCCGGCCACGCCACCCGCAGACTGCACACCCACTTCACGTTCATGGAGCTGGACGGGGCGGGCATCGTGGTGGAGCGCGTGCCCTGGGCCCTCCCCGGCTACGCCTTTGTGCACGATTTTGTGCTCACGCGCGCCTGGTACGTGGTGTTTGAGAACCCCGTCTCCGTGGACTACCACGCCTACATGCTGGGCCTGGCCCCCGCCGCGGCCAGCATCAGGTGGGGGGGAAAAGGGAGGGAAGGAGATGGGGGGTGTTGAGGGTGCAAGGGGTGAGAGGGCAAGGGTGCCCACCATGCAATTGCAGTTGAGTCACGCAGCGGTAGCCGGGAGGAGGGGCCACCGTGCTGCTGCGCACCAGTCCCTCAGCCTGCAAGCCAGGCGTCTGGGGAGGCGAGAACCACTTCACCAATGCCTGTCGCTCAGCTTCGGTTCCCACTCCACCGCCTTTCTCTCACTCTCAAAACCAGGTGGGATGTGGGCAGGCCGACGGTGGTGCACCTGATTCCCAGGCCGGGTGCCCCTCCTGGCGCTCGGCCGCGCCGCTTTGAGCTGCCACCGTCCTTTGTCTTCCACCACGCCAATGCGTATGAGCAGGGGGAGCACGTGATCATAGACTCCGTTCACTACGACTCCCTCCCGGGCGTGGGGACCCCTGCCCTCGGCAAGAAACAGGCACAGAAGGCGCAGCGGCAGGGAGAATCCGTGGGGACATGAGCACAAGCAGCATCCATCACCAGGCCATCCTTCGCTCACCCCTGGTCCCCTCCCACGCTCACGCACCAGGTGGATCCCCAGGTCTCCTACTCGGCGCGGCTGCGCAGGGCCACCCTGAACCTCAGGACGGGCGTCGCAGTGAGCGGTTATGGATGGGGAGGTGTGCAGGGTTTGGGTGGGGTATGCGTGCGATGAGATGCGACAGCACGGCTACTTCGGCTCCAGGGCATGCTGACCTTGCAGCTGTGGCTCTGGGTGCACGACCATCCGAACCTTCTCTCGCTGGCGCCCTGCCAGCCAGGGAAGGGGGGATCGAGCAGGCAATGCATGCTCCCATTAGTTTGCCGAGCTAATGCTTTGCTCCACATCACAGGCACGGAAGCTGCTGCACCCAGGCTACCTGGAATTCCCCTCGGTGAACGAGACGTGCTTTGGCAGAGCGCACGAGTTCGTTTTTGCGGAAACTGCCGACTTTGAAGGCTCAAAGTCTGGACTGATCAAGGTGGGGAGCTGGCTGTGAGCTAGGATAGGGATAGCGTCTCATAAATGTGCTGTGCTGAGACCTGGTGTGCAGCTCGACGACCCCTGCATCAAATCCTTGTGTCTCTGGACAGAAATGTCAATCCTTCTGGGCTGGCAGGGGCTCTGTGCGCATGCATCCCAGCACGCATCTCAACTCCACCGACCGGCTTAACATCGCTCCTCCAGCTGGACATGGCGAGCTTGGAGGCTGAGACGTGGTTCCCTGGTCGCCACCAGTTTGTCGGGGAGCCCCAGTTTGTGCCCAGGCCCGACGCTGGCGCAGAGGACGATGGCTGGCTGCTGGCCTGTGTGTTTGACTCCGGTGAGCGTCGCAGGGGTAGGGTGCCTGGACCCAGAGCGAGAGTTGCGGCGCACTGCAGTGTCCTGGCATGCCGTGGCCATCGTGGATGGCGAATCAACGAGGCTCTCTCCCAGACTCCATGTGGTACCAAAACCCACAGAAAGCCTCACAAGCCGGTTCGTGATCCTGGATGCTCATCGCATCGGTGCGGGGCCGATCGCCGTCGCTTTGCTGCCTCACCCACTGCCGCACGGTCTGCATGGGAGCTGCAGCGACACGGCATACATGCCGACGCATGGCGCAGGCTCGGCGACCCTCAGCTCCAATGCCGTGCCCTTCACGCCCCCTTCAGCGCCTCTGCTTGGGGGGGAGACCAGCCTGCAGGGGACAGGGTGAGGGAGGGCAAGGCGGCGGGCAGCACCCAATGGTGCACTGGCATGCCTCCAGGACATGGAGGCTGGCTGAAGGAACATTCTAGCTCATAGCAACTTGTACGACGATCTGTACCTTTTCCATGGCACCATAGCGGCTGCTCACTTCTGTGCGCAGATCTCGAGTGCATAGCTCGTGCTCCAACAAGGTAGTTCACATGAAACCCCTCTTGCTGCGTGATGATGTCTGCATATGATACCAGTCTTTCTCCTAAAGCATTTCGACATGATGGTGATCCTCCCTCTTCTCCAGCGATAAATTTGTAGTATGATCCTTTTGTCTCCTACACCTTTCGAGCCATCCATACCACCCTTGCTTGTAGTGGCCCTCTTCCAAGAGCTCCTTTTGCTCTCTGGAGGAGACTGACGAGACTAATCTACGAGAAGATGAACATTTGTAATGCCCAATGCTCTGCAAACATCTCTCAACATAGAAGTCAGGTGCCGGAAAGCAGAAGTTGCCGAGCTAGGGTTTGTTGGTACTGGCAAACAACGAGCCTCAGCGCGAGATTTCCCCTTCAAGCATTAAGGCCGACCCCACGACACTGTCCCTCGCTCCCACAGAGCATTTAAGAATACCAGATGGGTAGGAGTAAATCATGGGGGGTTCCCTTCGCCCCTGTGGCAGGGATGCCTTCATCTGGTGGTCGTGGATCATGTGACTGGTGATACGGCGCAACAGCGTCCCCGGGCGCGAGTCATGCTATGCGCAGACTGGCATGCGACAACATAAACACGCCCGCGGCACAATGCACCGAGGATTGAATGTTTGCATGAAGGCTGCTCCTCACATCCCCGATGTCTCCCAGTGTCACCCCCCTCCCCCGGCCCGGCAACGACACCTGATTCACTTCAATAATGCCGGGGCCAGTCTGCAAAGCCCCAAAACGCTGCAGGCAGTGCGGCACCACCTCGATCTTGAGGAGAGACACGGCGGGTGAGGCTGGGGCTCGATGATGATTGTTGATGTGTCTCAGGCACGAGTGGGCCTACATGCAGCCATGGAAGATGCAGCGGTGCGCCCGAGATCCCATGCGCAGTGAGCGTGCACAGCTGCTTCACTTTCTCTTGACCTGCGCCTTCCTTTCAGTGGGAATTTATCCGCCGCATCATGGAGGCCAGTTTCTCTCATGAGATTCCCCCCACACCCACACCCACTGACCCTGTCCCCCACGTCAGGTACGAGGCGGCGGCGCTCAACGCAGCTGCCCTGCAGCTGCCTTACACCGCCTTGGCCTCCCTGCTCCACGCCTCCCCCGACGAGATCGCGGTGATGGGCAGCGCCACGCTTGCCTGGCAGGCCGTGGTCTATGGCCTGGCCTGGACATGGCGACCGGGGGACACGGTGCTCACCGGGGTCAACGAGTACGCCAGCAACTACCTGGCCTACCTGCAGCTGGCACGCCGCACCGGCGCGCGCATCGTGGTCGTCCCCGAGACCGCCCAGGCCGAGCTGGACCTGACGGCGCTGGCGCGCGAGATCGCCGCCGCGCCGCGCCGCCCCGTGCTCCTCGCCCTCACACACAGCCCCACCAACTCGGGCCGGATCTACGACGCGGCGGGGGCGGGCGCGGTGGCCCGCGCCCACGCCGTCCCCTTCCTCCTGGACGCCTGCCAGTCGGTGGGCCAGGTGCCGGTGGACGTCCAGGCCATCGGCTGCGACTTCCTTTCCTCCACCAGCCGAAAGTACCTGCGAGGGCCCAGGGGGGTGGGCTTCCTCTACGCAGCCAGGTGTGTGTGTTTGTGGGGTGGGTGGATTGGGGGAAGAGGTACGTGGAAGAGAGGAGGAGGGGGCAGGGGTGAGATGGTAGAGGTGCAAAAGGTGCACCCAATGGCCTCTGGATGCTTGTGTCCATGACGTGGTGTCAATGCAGAAGCTGGGGGGGGTCCCCCCTGGCCCCCAACGTCTTGCTGCAACCCAGTGACTCCCGCCCTGAAGACCAGGAGCCCACCTCCCTCTGCCCACTGCAGGTCGGCGTGGGACCTGCTGGAGCCGGCCTGCATCGATCTGCATGGCGCGGAGTGGGTGGCGAGAGGGGCCTACGCCCTGCACCCCACTGCCAAGCGCTTCGAGTCCTACGAGATCAGCTTTGCAAGCAAGGTGAATTTGTGACGGGGGGAGAGGGGTGGGTTGAGGACGTCTTGCACTGCGTCTTGCTGTAGGCCTCCTGGAGATTGGACCCACTCATGCCTCAGTCTATGTGTGCTGGCAAGTCAGCACACAAACCTAGCAGGTCGACAGGCTGTCAGGCATTGGAGGCTCCCTGTATCCCAGCTCGCTGCACTGCGAGCCAGTGCCGGCTGTCTGCAACACCTTGCCTGCTCACCATTCTTCCCATCTCCACACCCGCTGTCAAGGTGGGCTTGGGCGTGGCGGCCCAGGAGGCGGTGGATGTGGGCATGGATACGATCAGCACCGCAATTGCCAAGGTTGCCACGGCGCTGAGGAAGGGTTTGCAGGGCGTCCCCGGCATCACCGTGCAGGACCAGGGGCGGCGCCTGGGCGGCATCGTCAGCTTCACAGCGGTGCGCAAACGGGGCTGGCAGGGGGAGGGGGTGTTGCGCAGCAGTATTGAACAGGGGGATATTGTCTTTAGTGCCCAGATCTGAAGATTCTTGCTGACTGCCTAAACTGCTCACAACAACCAAACTGGGAAGCCATTGCATCATGTCCTTACCTCCTCACCATCAGAGTGGTGTCAGCTCACTTACCTGTGCACTTAACCCAAACCACAGGCTGACACACCCGCCGAGGTCATCCAGGCCAGGCTGCTGGAGCAGGGCATTAACGTCTGGACCTCCCGAGCACCCTCCACGCGCATTGACATGGAAGACAGGGGGTTGGACAGTGTGGTCCGAGCCTCCGTGCACTCCTACAACACGCTGGACGAGGTGGAGACGTTCTTGAGAGTGCTGCGTGCCGTCCTTTAGGACGTGCTGGGCTGGTTATGCAAATGCAGGTGCCAAACCTGAACAGCAGGTCCAGGTCCCCGATCTCCCCAGCGCCACTTGTTACTCCATGCATCAGACCCTTTGATCTGCAGCTGGATCACGGCTTCAGAGGCCTGCCACATGGTTACACGCAAAGAAGCAAATGGTGTGTTGAGACCTAATCGCAGAAGGCGGTGAGCGATCGCTTTACAGGTCCGTCTGATCGACCTCCCGCCCGTCATGAGTATTATTGCGGAACCAGGCGGCCAACCGCGATGACAACGGCTCCCCACTGATGGGTGAAACCAGAGACGACCTGGACCCGCAAAGGTCTCGATGCGCGACCCGCACAATGCGGATCATTGGCATGAATTATCTTGGCGCATCCCTCGACCAGGGATCCTCAACAAGTTGAGTTGGCTGAGGAAGGGCGTCCATGCCCTTGAATTCTTGCATCTTCCTCACCCCTTCCTCACCACATCTTTGTGCCTGCAATGAGGTGTGCCTTTCGGCACAGTTTCGTCGGAGCTCGATGAGGTGGTGTCCCTGCCGCAGACCGGGGTTTGACGGGGAGCGACTTCCGTAGAGCTACCCCGCGGTGACGGCGAAGGGTACGCGAGATCAGACTCCGGACTGTCCAGCCGTTTCAACCAATCAATGCGAGGGGGTCAAAAGGGACATAACATCTTCCGAACTATCAAACACCGCATTAATTTCCCCAACTCCCACCAATTCACATCACACACACATTCACAATGATGCAAACCCTTGCCACCTCGATGACCGTCTGCGGTCCATCATGCATGCCCAAGTCGCTGTCCAGGTCTGGCACTGCCCTCCAGGTCAGGGCTCCCTGCTCCACCCTTCAGTCCCGTCGCTCCATGAGGGTGTTCGCCGCCAAGGTGAGCACTTTTTGCAGACCTGGTGTGATTTGCGAGGTGCATGTCACTCGCCAGCGTACGTCGAGGAAGCGGGTTACGCATGTGCCTGAAGCCGTTCCTGCCTGTTCATGGTGGGTAGTTGACAGCTTCCCTTCCGTTGATTTCGTCATGGCTCACCAAACCCCCATCTCAATCCTCTATTTTTGCAGCAAGATCAGCCTTTCCGCACCAAGGACCCTGCCCAGTCGCTGATTCCCCAGTTCACTCGTGAGCGCGAGAGGGCTGTCGGCCGCCTCGCCACGCTGGGCCTGGCCTTCTCCTGGGTTGGCGAGGTGCGTGGTGCATGTTCTAGCTGGCTTTGAGGTTTGTATACACATGCATTGCACATCGCTCGCTTGCGAATTTGCGCGATACATGCTTGATCGCTGTTGTTCCGAAGTGAGGTTGGTCGACTTACCGAAACCCTTCTACATTCGCCCGGTACGCAGACTCTGACGGGTTATGGTCCCATCACCCAGCTCTCCAACGAGACTGGTGTGCCCGTTGTGTGGGGCTATGGCGTCACCCTAACCCTAATCGCCATCCAGCTGTTCTTCGGCCTCAACTCTGGTAGGTAGAATGCAGAGCAGTGTGTGTGGGGGAAATTGGTGTACATGCCATGTCATCTCAAAACAATTATTTACTTGGACTGCATTCCTCCTTCCCCTATAGGCACTCCCACCTACAGCGACGAGAACCAGCGTGATGTTGCCAAGCGTAGCAAGGGCCTGACTGGCATTACCCAGATTGAGCCTGATGTGGACCGTGTGATTGACCCCACCAAGGACCCTGGCCAGTTCTTCCTGCGCCTGGAGCTTGCCCAGGGCCGTACCGCCATGCTGGTGTTCCTCACCACTGCCATCCTGGAGTTTGCCAACGGTGGCATGTCCCCCCTGGGTCAGGCAGGCATCATTCCCACGGGCGTGCCCTTCAGCCAGGCTCCCATCTGGCTGATCGCCCTCACCATCCTCAACTTTGTTGGTGGTATCGGCACTTTTTCCCTGTTCGACCAGAACAAGGATTCTGCTGCCTACTGATTGGATTGTTTCCGTACCCTTCCCATCTCATCCCACCAGGCAATGATGTGTTTGCAAGTAGCTTGCCTCATCTCAGAATTCTTTTGTGATGTTGGAGAGTTTGTCATCTGAGTGCCCACAGGCCCTGATTCACACCCCTCCCCCACCCTCGCCCTCCCCTATACTCATCACTACATCACCATTTTTACAATTCACAATGTCGATTGTAATCTGATAAATTTTAGTTCTATATCGAAACTTAGGTTGGTAGGATGAGGATGTGTGTATTTCACATATATAAACTGAAATAGTATCAATAACTATATAATGGAAATGTCGATGCCTACAAACCCCAGTGACCATCAGTTGAGATGCTTCCATGTACTGGGGAAATACACCTTACGCAATCATGGGACATTTACAGCTCACAGGGTTACTGCCCACATATTCTGTTACCACAACCACATCAGACATCCTCTTCGGGCATGGGCATCGCAAGGGAGTTGTAGCGTGCGCCCATGAGACCAGGCAGGTTGGAGGCACTGGTGACGGGAACGCCGATGCCACCGCCCGGTCCAGCCAGGCCCGCTGGAGCCAAGCCAGAGTCCGCCCACACCCCCTCCTCGGCGAGCAGGGTGAGGCAGCCAGCCTGCTGCCCGGTCACGGGGCAGTGGCAGCCGCGGTAGCAGGCCCAGGCCACGGCCAGGCCCAGCCCCAGCCCGGCCAGCACGTCCTCGGTGTGGTGCCAGCAGTCTTGGAGCCGGGTCATCCCCACCCAGCCGGCCAGGGCCAGGGGGAGAAGGGCGACGGCCAGGCGCGCTGGGCGCGCGGCGCCGTCAAAGCAGCGCAATGCGCCCAGCAGCCAGAGGCTGGCGTAGCCCAGCCCCGCGCTACTCCAGGCGGTGTGCCCCGAGGGGAAGGATTTCAGGCCCTCCTCCCAGTCGAGGGCCGCGGCGGAGCAGAGGGGGACGCCCAGCGAGGTGAAGGCGGGGGTCGCCCCGCCAGGCCAGCACCGCGCGACGAAGTCCGGCCGGGGGCGCGCCACCTGCAGGTGTGTGGGCGGGTTGGTGTGTTTGTGAGTGGTGCGCCATCTGCATCAGAGAAGTGAGGGGTTCCTCACAGGCACCAGGCCGAGGCCGTGATGAGCGTGTGTGGTGTCCAAGCGGCAGCTGACTGCGCCACGAATGGCCGGTGCGCACAGGGGCGAATCATACATCACCGGCCCCTCGCCGCTCACGTTGAGCTTGATGAGGTTGGTGATGAGGCCGGTGATCACCACCGCGGCCCAGCCCTGCACGACGCCGTGGTGGGCCGCAAGGCGTGGCAGGCGGCCGGCCAGGTGGAAACCGAGGATGATGACGAAGGGCGTGGACAGGCTCAGCAGTGGGACCACCCACGCCGGCACGTGGTTGGGGAGTAGGGGGTAGCTATACTGCAGGGGCGGGTCGTGGAGCCGGGGGAAGGGTGACAGCGGGGAGGGGGCATGGACAGGAGCAGCAGCAGCCGCAGCAGCACAGGATGAGAACATCGCCCGCGAATGCTGGCATGGTGGAGCGATCACCCAAGCAATACAGTCCTTTCATGCACACGTCTGGCCTTGCCCTCAGACCATGTGACCAAGGGCACCACCCACCCTCCAGAGTTCGGCATCGCTGAGGTGGTAAATGGAGCGCCGGAAGGGCCTGACGTGGTCTGTGTACTGCACAGTGAAGAAGGCAACCAGGATGAACAGGTACTGCCTCCAGTGGGAGGAGATGAGGCAGGACCACGTGGGGTTGGCTGAGCCCGCGCCCCGGGCTCGGCTGTTCCGGCTGGGGGCTGTATGGGCTGTTGCCAGGTTCTGAGCGCTTCCTGTGGGAGGAGCACAAGGTCGCCTCACGCGCTGATCACGGGATCTAGGGCGCGCAGTGATAATTTTGTGTCATCGCCAGGCCTCGCATGGAGTAGCGCGGCTCCAAAGCCTGCATCGAGGCCCCTCGCACCCACCGTTCCTCCGCGTTGCAAGGCTGGCGGAGGCTACACGCAGCATGCTGCTTGCCCAAATCTGGCATGCCTGTGCACCGTGCGAGACGCTCAGCTCCTTGGATCGTTCAACCCCGCCTGCTGTGGATACCCAGTCTCCTTGGAGAAGTACGAGATCAATCAAGGACAGGTTTCCTAGGGTCTGGAAAGGACGAAGATATGCGGCACTCTGGTCAGGGAGCAGCGGGCCTGAAGTGAAGAGTGCATCATGCATGTGCCATGAAATTGAAACGCTGGCATAAAAATATCGTTTGAAGCGCGAGCGCTGGCCTCCACGGGCAAACTGTCACCGACAGTCCCTGCAAACCATGGCTGAGCTTCGACGCCCAATGGAATGCTGCTGCTCGCACATGGGACTGCTGCCGGGCGGCAGCGCGTTTAAGAGGCCGATGATCCCAAACTACCGCCATCATGGCGTGCGAGTGCCCTCTGGCACCACGCAGACTGCAGCTCGCCTGGTGCTACGGGCGCGTGTGTCAGCCCTCCCGTGGGTGAGGCGGGCCACACATTGCGGGGAAGGCTGCAGGGCTGGCCTGGCTCATTCGCATTATCTGACATTCCCCTCACATGGAACTCACTGCAGGGTACACGCCTGGTAGAGGGCATCCGGGCCCAGACGCGGCAGATCACGATGCTGTCGCTGCGCCTGCTGCTCCGGCATCTGACCACCATGGTCCAGGTATGGTGTGGGACCCCTGGAGACCGGCACCTGCCCTGCCCGATACTGTTGAAAATCTACCGTGCATGCATCTTTCGTCGCCCAAAGGATCGAGAATGGCCTGGAAACCCCACTCATACCTGCCCGCTCCCCCCGCAGGGCCTGGTGGTGTTCCTGCGGCACCTGAGGCAGCCCGGGGCCAAGGGCCCACACGCCCCGAACCCCACCCCAGCCCAGCAGCGCAGCGACGACGAGGAGGATGGCGCGACCTCGGGCCCGGCGGTGCCCACCGCTCTGCCGCCCCTCAACCCGTCGGTGGTGTCCGAGCAGCTGCGGCCGCTGCACGCTACGCTGATCGACGCCGCCAAGCCGCTGGACGCCAAGTGGCGGGACCTGCAGGGTCTGGCCTCCGGCGCGGCAGACTCCCTGTTCCGGCTGGCGCGGCACACCGCCGCCGTCACCGCCGACCTGGAGGGAAAGGGCCTGGCAGGGGCGCCGCAGGCGCAGCAGTGGGCCCTGGACGCCGCCAGCGACATGGCGCAGAAGGAGCGTCAGCTCTACGACCAGGTCTTCGCCCAGGTGCTCGGCGAGCTGGAGCGGCGGGACAGCGCGCGTGGCGCGCGGCGCTGGGGCATGCTGGCCGAAGGATGAGGGGGAGGGGGATCGACCCCACCCACCCACCCACCCGACCCACCCCCTCGGGCTCCCTTTTGAACCAATGTACGAATCCATGGCACATTAGTGCCTATGAATATCCAGTCGCATCATTAGCCAGGCTTTCTCAGGCTCCTCCCATCCCAGGATCGCATCCCATGCCAGTCCCCATCCTCTCTGAGGCCGTCGCGTGCTCAGGCACATGGCAGCCCCTGCGTGGGTCCCTGCAGCTTTCGATGCCTGTTGTGCTTATTTTCCTTTGTCCCTGTTTCCTGTTGAGGCATTCTCTTGCACGTTTTGGCTCATTCACTCGCTTTGAACTTGGCGGGGGCGGGGGTCTGGAGGACACCGGAGCCGAATCTCCGCCGGGACCGCCAAAATCAGAAGGTTACAGAGCAACAAACAAAAGTACGTGGCCTATCCCATTCGGATTATATTTTCATCCGACCAGTATAGCTCGTAGAGTACTCTTGCCTACAGTCCATCGTGCCCGACAGTGGGCTCCCGGTAGGCCCATGTGAACATGTCGTTTCCGAGTGTGGTCTTATGAGGAGCTACAGTTGCAGGAATAATTCTGAAGACGGTCATACAGTTTCACTACGACACCAGAAGTCCTTGATGTAACCCCGCGACGGGAGTCTAGACCTCTGGGACCGCGGCTTTGTGGAGCAGAAGGCCGACACCAAGTATCGACTTCATGAAGCTCGCAGAGACTCCATGGTGTCCGCCGGGCCTCCGGCGCTCCAACTGGTGAGGAGGGAGTCAATGCAACTATAATAGCATACATCCAGCTGGTAGGCATCGAGAGCATGCCTGGATCTCTGCATCAGACTGCCTCCTGGCCACTCTGCCACCGCACAGGGCCATCTCCAACTTCAAAGTGGACAAGTTGCTCGGCGAGGGCAGCCTGTCCACCGTCATCTCTGCGACGTGCCGCACCAGCAACCAGCGTGTGGCAATCAAGACGTACCACAAGGACAGGCTCATCGGCGTGTTTGGACGACAGGTGGCGAGGGAGATCAGCATACACGCTGCCCTCAACCACCCTTCCATCGTCCCCCTGTACGCTACGTTTGAGGACGCTGATGGCATCTACCTGGTCCAAGAGCTGGCCGCGCAAGGTGCAGGGATGGGTGACCACCGCGGATATTGGCCATGGGAGTCGAGGGATTGCTTTGAATTCTAAGCTACCCCCTGTGGGGCAGGTTGATGTGCAGCCCATCGCCTGAAATGAGCGCAGCTTGGCCCATCCTGCCACGTCGGAGGCTCCATGTAGCCATGTGTTGGGCTGCTGGTCCTCTGTGCCGGTTCCAGCTGCACGCTGAAACAAAGGTTTCACGCTCCCCTCCACCTCCCACTCCGGGCTCAGGTGACCTGTATGGGGAACTGGCAGCCCGAGGGGGCTTCATGCATGAGAAGGAAGTCGTGCAGCAGGTCCTTGTGCCTTTGCTCAACGCGCTGCAGTACCTTCACGAGAAGGTGAAGCCAGGGTCTGAACTTGGAGGGAGTACCCTTCAAGCAATGAATGCTGGAGCGCCCTGAGCTTGGGAAGTACACATGTCCCCACCAGTGCAAGAGACAAACAACCAGAACTCCTTGTTTTGAACCGAGTGGTATCTAGCATCCCATCCCTCCCCAAAACCCCTGCTTCCCATCCTCAGGGGGTGATGCATCGGGACATCAAGCCAGAGAACATCCTGGTGAGGGGCGCCGGAAGCTCAGGTATCATGCTTGGTGATTTTGGCCTGGCCATCAACACTAACCTGGAACCTCCCATGTCTCGAGTCGGCACCCTGGACTACCTGGCTCCAGAGGCAAGAGGGGGATGGGGTTGCATTGGAGGGTGAAGGGCTGACACTGTTCTGACACAGTTCTGACACCATGTCCAAGAGTTGCAGGGCACAGTGGTCCATCACAGGTGTACACAGCATTCCAATCGTACAAGATACTTGCCGCTCCCCATCACTCTGCATCACTGCGCGTGTCTGATCATATTACTCCACTGTGTCAACAGCTGGGCCTTGCTTTTCAAACCTGCTTCCTCTTACCTCCCCTTATGATCAGATAGTGAAGCTCACGGTGTCCAGCACACCAGTCATGCCTACAGGGGCCAACTACACCCTGGCGGTGGACTGCTGGTGCGTCGGAGTTCTGGCGTATGAGCTGCTGATTGGCGGCCCGCCCTTTGAAGCGCCGTCAAAGTGAGCGGCGGCTGTGGGCTGGGCATTGGGAGGGGGTAGCCTACCTGGCTCGCGCAGCTCTCCCTTGCAATGTGTCTGTGTAGCCAATGCAAGCCCCCCCTCTGCCCCGCCTCTGCCCAAGCAGGGAGGCAACCTACACGCGGATCCAGAAGGCGGAGCCCTTCCTCCCCCGTCACCTGTCCCACGCCGCCAAGGCCTTCCTCGGCGCCGCCCTCCAGCGTGAACCCAGCCAGCGCCCCAGCCCGAGCGCCATGCTGCGAGACCCCTGGATCACAGGCCTGCAGGAGGGGCACCTGGCTCGTGCCGGGGCCGCGACGCCAGCCCCTGCCCCAGCGCAAGACCAATCAAGGTCACAACCAGACGACGGAGCGGTCGCAGCGGCCTCGCCCACGCCGCCAAGCTCCGAGGCGCCGAGCACAGCCGCGCCGGCATGCGTTCCCCTGGAGGGCAGGGAGGACGGGGCCGACCTCATCCCTGCCGCTCGGCGGCCCGGTGGCGCCACAGTCATCCTGGCTCCTGCGGGCACCAAGGTGCGGGCTGGGATTGCTGCGGAGGGGCCGGGCAAGCCGCTGCAGGCCCTGCGGAAGAAGCTGTCTGGTTGCTGCAAGGCTGGGAGGGAGGTCCGGGCGGAGCCAAGGTCCAGCATCGCCATGGTGAACACCGCCAGGTGAGGAATGCTGCAGGGTGCCTGGCCTGGGGACACACCCGGTGAAGGCGGGAGTGGTCGGTGAAACAGGATGCACAGCCACACGGCACAAACCTCAGGGACGACAGGCTGGACCTGCCCCGTAGCGCACCAGGGTGCTGCGCACTGCCCATAGCTCCAATGCAGGGCTTCTGAAAGTGCACGTGTCTGTTGTGTGCCAACTAAGCGAGCTGCCTCCACCCCTGCAGCGGCACAGCTACAAAGCAAAGCTTCCTGATGGCATTCGGCAAGAAGCTGAACATGGGCATCAGCAGGAAAACTGGGTGAGGAGTCACTTGACCCTGGCGTGACGCTCACCCCCTGCAACAGCGCCGGCACTGCTGACTTGTCCTACTCTTGATGATGCCGTCCAGAGAGCTAGTGCGGTGACATTGCTACTACAGGGGCAGGCTTTGGCGCAGACCAGTGGGGCGGTAGCATGGTTGCCAGGACTCCTCCTGTGCGGAGCCTGTGTACAGCCGACAACCATCCCACAGGCATATACTCGATATCTTGAAGCCTCATTCCTGTCCTGGATCAGTCAGTCGGTGTTACAACGAGGCAGCGTCCCGAGCCTCAATCCCCTGATGCCACCCGTTCACGCAGCTGCAGCCAGCGCCAGGGACCCCAGCGCCTCCAGCACGGCGTCGGCGGCCAGGACCCTGCCCGGGGTGGGGCCGCCTCGCAGCTCCCTGGAGACTCGCACCGCTGCCTGCTTGAACCCATCCTCCGTCAGCACCCGCATCAGCGCCGCATGCAGCTCGGCCTGCCTCTTCACGAACCCCGCGCGGCCCAGCTTGACCCCAGCGCCCAGCGCCTCCACGCGCCGCGCGTTGTCCAGCTGGTCGCCGGCGAAGGGCAGGATCAGCATGGGCACGCCGTGGTAGAGGGACTGGGTCACGCCGTTGATGCCGCCATGGGTGAGGAAGGCGCGCACGCCGCCCGACCCCAGCACGTCGTTTTGGGGCACCCAGCCCAGCAGTGCGCCGCCGTGCGGCAGCGGGGGCAGGCCGGCCAGGAACGCAGCGCCGTCCGGGCCGGGCACGTCCCCGGCCTCCAACTTCCACAGCACGCGTGCGGGGAGGGAGGCAAGCACGGCGTGCAGGCCCCGCAGCTGGTCCAGGGTCATGGTCAGCGTGAAGAGGGAGCCAAAGCTCACGTACAGTGAGGGCAGGATGGGGGGCGCCTGTGAATGTGATCAAGGTGGGGCAAGGGGGAGATACAAGTTTGAATGAGGGCATGAATGAGGTGTGCCTGCCGGGAAAATTCCAGTCTGACCGCAGGATTGCTGCTGGGCAGATGGTACCAGATCTCCTCTCGTCCAAAAAATCACAAACACCCGCCGCAAACCTCAGCATCGCTGTCCTCCTCAGGCCCGTGAACCAGGCGATGCAGATGCGGTGGCAGCGGCGAGGCGGGCTCGGCCAGGAGCGGGCCCACCAGTCGGACATGGGGCGGCAGCGCCGGCCGTTCAAACTCCAGGGCGGTGTGGGTGTTGATGAGCAGGAGCGCTGCGTCCCCGGCGGCCACGTGGGCGCTGCGCCGCACGGCGAGGGGGAACTGGGCGCGGAGGGAGTCCCCAAACTGCCACTCCAGGAACCTGGGGCGTGACCAGGGGGGTGGGGTGGGGTGGGGGGTGAAAGGGGAGGGGGGGCATCAAGAAGGGGTGACTTGGAGCGAGTGCATCAGCGACACCCTCACAGGCAAGCCAACAGTTTTATGAATTGAGCGTCAGCATGCAGGGGCATGAGGTGTAGCAGTAGAGCACGAATGAGCAGGTGATGGCAAAAAACAGCAACCCACTCCTCCTCCACTATCACAAAGAGCATGCCGAGTATGTGACGATGAATCACCCAATGCAGCGCCCCGCGCGACTCCCACCATGCAGGTCCCTTTACCCCTCCATCAGCGCGTCACCTGACCACCCAGGGGCTGACTGCAAAGGAGGCAGCATTCAAAAGATAGTTCCAAGGCAGCCTCAGCTGTCCAGGAACAAAGCCAGTGCCGTACATGGGTACGAGGGAGGGAGGGGCACTGAAGTTGTAAGCAGTGGCCAGGATATTGTCAAAGAAGCCTGCCGGCGAAAAGTCCACCCTGTTTTGGTGTGTTATGGGAAGGGAAGAAGGTGACGTGCAAAGGGCTCACTTGCTGCTTCCGTGCAGCATGCTCGACTGCTACTTTGGGACAGGCAGTGGCGGCTGCGAAGCGCTCGCAATCTCAGCATATACAGACACCCAGGGGCAGCCCTGACCTGGGGACGCCCAGACCATCCCCGAGGATGGGAGTGCAGACGTCGCTGAAGTCCCCGAGGACAAGGTCCGGATGGAGAGCTCGAAGGGCAGGGATGATGGTCAAATTGCGCAGGAGGGCGGCGCAATGCGGCACCATGCTGTGCTCAGTGAGGTACCAGATGTCCTGGGAATTTGGGTGCACAGCAGGAGGGAGCATAGCAGTGATGACATTCCGAAGAGCAAGAGGACAGCGGACGGGGCACTGTCCTACCGCAGACGATCGTAATCTACCCTGCCAAGGCCTGATCACAAGTACTACCCCCTCGTACCCGCCCTCTGCTCACGCCCCACCCACCAAGCCTGGCAGTTTAGTGCTGAACTCAAGGAGGGTCGCCTGCTTGGCTGCAGCACAGCTGCTGTGGCTGGGCATGGGGCTGGGGTACTCCATGACCTGGATGCCCTCGGGCACTCCGCCCACTCGCGCCAACGTCGCGGCATCGCAGCTGGAGAGCAGCATGATGAAGGTATGGCCCCGGGCAACGAGCTCCTTCCCCATGACACCGACTTGTAGCTGGTGGCTGGTCATCCAGGGCATGGCGTGCCCAACAATCACGTAACATGTCACACAATGGCAGATTGATAGAAGAAAAGCTAGTTTTGGCACGACCGAGGGGTGGCAATGACTTGCCATGGAATCGACGTGAGCACCGGCAACCTCAGGAGAATGTCAGAGGGGGGTTCGCGAACCTCATTGAGCTCGTCCAAGGTTTGGCAATAACTCTCAGGAATGTGAAATCAGCATGAAAATCAGAGGCGTAGCATGTTGACAGGGGGGAGCTGTTTCATTCCCTCTCGGCCTCTCAGATTACGTGAGTCATTGGAAGACGGAAGGACAGATGGCTCTCCCGCATCACACACCGGGCTGCACTGGCCAGGCCTGCTCCAGTACAGGTTATGATCAGCGATCGGCAGTCGACCGATGTGCTGTTGCGATCAGTGCAACACGGGCGAGCGTCCAGGTCTGACTGCATGCTGGGTGTGCCGTGGTCATCCAACCCTAACTGGAACCGGCGCGTCATGCACAGCACCTGCTCCCAGGATCGATTTTCTAGACCCGCACGCACAGCCTGGGCCGTCGTGGCCTTCTCAGGCTCCGGCTTCAGGACCAGCTGCGGACGGCCGTCATTCCCCCGGCATTGGCGAGCGGACCCGTGGCCGGTGGACTGAGGAATCTTTCAGCCTGGCTAGGTGCACATCCTTGTACCCTATTCTTTGTCAGTCAACCCAGACCTAATCATCCCAGTCGGCTGAATATTGACTGAGCAGGGTGGGGCCACACTCCGGGTTGCGAAAGCGTCTAGGGCAGAGAGGCTCGAACACCAGCTTTGGTCCACCCGTGCTGCTCTTATACACCCTGCACTGCTGAACCCAGAACCGAGATTCCTTCAGCCAGAAGTGAAACATTCTCATCAGCAAAAAACGCCAGCGAGTCCTGCGTCGCGGCTTTCACGCCGTTCCCCTCATGTTTCCCCCGGAACCCTCCGCCTGCGTGATCTGGGACCTCGACGGCACACTCCTGGACACGGAGTCCCTGGTCGCAGAGGTCGCCCGCGAGGTCATCGCCCGCCACGGAGGCGAGCTCACGGACGCCGCCCGCGCGGCCAGCCTGGGCAAGAGACCTCTGGAGGCCTGGGCGGCGGTGGCCGCTGCCCTCGACCTGCCCGTGCCAGCTCAGCAGCTGCTGGAGGAGTCCGAGGCCCTGCTCAGCGAGCGCTGGCAGGAGGCCAAGATGCTGCCGGGGGCCCTGCGCCTGCTCACCCACCTGAAGGAGTGCGGCATGCCCATGGCCCTGGCGACCTCCACCCTCCGCGCCACGCTGCCGCTCAAGCTTGCCGTGCACGGCCACCTGCGCACCACCTTCCAGATCACCTGCTGCGGTGACGAGGTGCCACGGCGGTGCTGCAGAGTGTTTGGGGGGAAGGAAAGTGGAGGGGACACTGCCCTAGTCCCCAGTCTGTTTTCATCAGCCCGAGCCCCCTCGCCTGTCTGTCTCGGCCCCTTCAGCCTGCGCCAACCCACCACCACCGCCCTCTCTCGGCAGGTGGAGCAGGGCAAGCCAGCCCCCGACAGCTTCCTGGTGGCAGCCAAGAGCCTGGGTTTCCCCCCCTCCCGCTGCCTGGTGATCGAGGACTCTCCTGCTGGAGTGGACGCGGCGGCAGCGGCGGGGATGCATGTCGTCCACGTCCCCTCCATGGTGTGCAAAGGTGCACGAGGAGATGAGCTGTCGCTGTGCTGCAACTTGCAGGCTCCACATGCGCACCTGCTTTGCTGACAGCGCAGAGTCGATGATGACCGCCTCGGCTTTGCTAGGAGGGCTTTGCCCTGACCTCCCTCCCACCCCAACACTCACCCGACCTCACGGCAGGTTGACACGGGGAGCGCCGCTCGGAATGCGCGGACCTTCGGACGCCAGGGCATAACCACGCTTGCCTCCCTGCTCGACTTCAGGCCAGAGGCATTCGGCCTGCCCCCCTTCAAGGATGGTGTGCAGGGCACCGTCCCCGTCGACCCGGCCTGGAGCATACGTGGCACTGTCGTGAGAGGCTATGGGCGAGGTGCGTGGCTGCAGGGAGTGCACAGGTGCCTGAAGTTTCGGCCCTTGTCCCTTGCAAGTGGGCATCGGTGGGACACTGAGCTTCCTGTGTCCACCCCATCCTCCCCTGGAGGATTTCCTTGCCACAGCATATCATACCCTGCCCTTCATGCCGCCTCCAGGGTCCAAGGAGCTGGGCATCCCCACTGCCAACCTGGATGCCGAGTCCCTGCGTGGGAGCCTGGGGGAGGCGGTGACCGGCATCTACGCTGGCTGGGCGTCGGTCGGCCGGTCCTCCGAAGTGTACCCCATGTGCATGAGCGTCGGTGGGTGTGGTTAGAGGGGGGGTGGGCGACGCTCGGCGCTCCTGGCCAGGTGCTGACGGAGGGGCTGGGCCGTCGTCCATGCTGCACCTGCTCCAGCTGACCCAGCTGCACCCTCTCGGCAGGCTTCAACCCCGTGTTCAAGAACAAGCAGAGGGTTTGCGAGCCCTGGCTGCTGCACGAGTTCGACCAGGACTTTTACGGCGAGGAGATCCGGCTCCTGGTCTGCGCCTACCTACGCCCCGAGGCAGATTTTGTGTCGGTGCAGGTGGGGTGCATTCGTCGTGGGGCTGGGGGCAGCCTGGAGCAGTGGGCTGGAAACGCACAGGTGCATGCTCCCGCCGCGCTGCTGTTTGCGAGGCGCTCTCTGCGATGACTCACCCATGACACGTGCACCCACGGGCAGGCACTGGTGGACCGGATCCACGAGGACGCGGCCATCACCCGCCGGGCGCTCCAGGACCCTCTCTTTGCAGCGCTCAAGGGGGATGCATTCCTCGCGCCCCAGGAGGGGGGCACCGCCCTCCAGCCCTCGGGCCCATGATGCCCTCGTGCCACCACCCAGGAGCGCGCGGGGCACTCAGACTGGGCCGTGAGGCGAGCGGCCCCAGTCCCGAGCTCAAACACAATCGAGAGACAGCATGCGTGCGGGCCGCAGGGTGTCGAGAAACACTTTGGCAGCAAGCCCCAACACGACGGCGCGGACGTGGAAGTGGTGGATCTGCTCGCGAGCCTGTACAAGGCATTGCTGTTCGCTGACTTGCATGAGGGGGCAAGCCCCTCCCTTGACCAGCTCCAGTCTTTCTGACCAGCACTGAGCAGTATGCTATTTAAAGGGACCAGCAGACCTGACAGCATAGCCTTCATCGACAGGGTGCCACAGCAGCGACGCAGTGACGAGACTAACACAGCAGACGGGACGGCATGGGGTCATGCTCACACCCACTCCCGGGCCTTCTTGGTCGCATCCAGGAAATCGGCCTCGGGGGAGCCCTCTGCCGGGACGTAGTCGTACAGCCAGGAAGCTGTGGGGGGCGGGGGTGGCAGGGTTCAGCAGCGTGATTCTGTACCAGCATGTGCGGGCTCGGCTGACCACAGGGGGCAAACAGGATGCAATGCACGTGCAGAGGGGTCAGGGACGGGTGCCGAACCCTGTCGAGAGGCCTCACAGGTGTGTCTGCGATCCTGCAGCAGACAACTCCAGAGCCCACGTTGCTTGGAGCATCCTGCATCGCCATCAGCCCCCGAACACCCCCCCCCCGGGACACGCACAGTGTGCCCCCCACCACATTGCATTGTATCAAAACCACACACACACCTGTGACGGGCAGGGACATGAGGATGGACTCGATGCGTCCCCCGGTCTTGAGGCCAAAGGTGGTGCCACGATCGTACACGAGGTTGAACTCCACATACCGTCCCCGCCGCACCTGCTGCCACTCGCGCTGCTTGGGGTCGAAGGCGTCGTCCTTGTGCGCCGTGACGATGGGCACGTAGGCCTCCACCACGGCGTTCATGGCGTCGGTGCTGAAGGCCAGGATGTCCTCCGCCGGGCGGTCGTTCAGGTCGTCGAAGAAGATGCCGCCCAGGCCACGCGTCTCGCCGCGGTGCTTGATCAGGAAGTACTCGTCGCACCACTTCTTGAAGCGCGGGTAGTACTCGGGGTCGTGCCGGTCGCACACGCCCTTGAGCGTGCCGTGGAAGTGGGCCATGTCCTCGGGGACGACGTAGTTAGGGGTGATGTCGGTGCCGCCCCCAAACCACCACTGGGCGGGGATGCCATTCCACTCCTCCGTCTCAAAGTAACTGGTGGCCGTGGGAGGGGGAGGGAGGGGGGGGGGATGTGAGAGGGACTGGCAGGATGGACATGCAGCCATGCCTGGCTGCCCAGCAAGCCACCAACACTCCCGTGGGGCGAGCATGCCTGTACATCTACTGAAGAATAGGGGGCCTTGGAATGTCATCCAGAGCCGGCCCTCGCCCTGGCCTCAGGAACGCAGACCAACCCTGGATGCAAATCTACATCAAAACTTGCAGAGATCAACCTAGGAGACCCACCGGTAGTTGAAGTGCATGGTGGGGGCATGGGGGTTGTGGGGGTGCATCACCGAGCTGATGCCCGCCGCGAAGAAAGGTATGCGCGAACCCTGTATGAGGGATGGAATTGGGAGGGTGGCGCTTCCCTGGCGCACTGGATTTGCAAAGCACCTCGACGTTTGCACCGCCTCCGTGTGCCCCAGTGACCAGGCTGCAACTGAGGCCCAGGTGGGCTGCATGGATCTCGCCACGCAACCTGTACTCCCCTTGGACACACACAGACACACCTTCTCGATGCCGCTGATGTCGTGGCCCACAGCCGCACGGTAGGCCTCGACGGGCATGCTGCCGTAGACGACACTCACGTTGACCCCCGCCTTCTCCCACACGTTCCCGTTTTGCAGGACACGCGTGATGCCGCCGCCGCCGCCCTCCCGCGTCCATGCGTCTTGCCTGAAGGGGGTGCCATCTGCGGCCGAGATGGCCTCGCAGATGGAGTCCTGGGCGGCTCTGATGGCCTTTTCGAAGCGCCCTCGGATGCTGCGGGGGTGTCAAGTGGGGGAAGGTAGACAGTGGAATGCTGGCGACCATGCTGAGCAGCCTTTGGTGAGGACACATCATGGGACCCCCTCTGTCTTTCACAGTGGACAGCGGGATTCCCACCAGCGACACCACCCAGCATATCGAGGCTCCAACACATGTGGTTTTGAATAAGAGGGCGACTCATGACCACACCTGTCCGCCGAATCAACTCCCGGCCGAAGCAGGGAGCCCGGAGTTGTGTCGATGTAGTTCTCCTTGGGGATGGACTGCAGGATTTTGGTTGGCATTTATTCGGTTGATAGACAGTCATGGCCTGCTGCGCGGGCATCAAGACGTCCCCCTGGCTTCCCAGAGGAGGGGAACTCCACCATCGTACCGAAACAGCCATGGGCGCCGTCCGTCTCTGTCGTCGTGGAGCCGGGGTGCAGACCTGGAAGGAATGAAGATTCAACTTCTGCCTGGGCACTGCAGGAATGTGCTTCGAGCCGTGCTGTACGCGGCCCAGAGTGCAGCCAAGAGGCTGCACCATTGCGGTAGCACCCATGTGTCCCACGATCTACAGCACTTGCGCACACACTAAAGCACTGTGGGGTTGAGCACCGAAAAATCTCGAGGACAGAGCAAAACGTACTCAGTAAGCTCTAAATATTTGCATGGATCCGCTCATCCGGTAGGATCGTCTACTGTGCTGTAGGGGGACACCGCACCAGCTACGTGCCATCGGCATTTCTTCCTCCCTTATCTCCCGAGATTGGACCGCAGCATGCACGATACCTCGCTGAGGCGCCGTGAAATTGCGATTTCGGGAGCAGCATTCATTCGCGTTGAACCACTCATTGTTACATGCTGTTCTCAGAGCGCTTGATGAATTGAATCAAAGACTCAGGATGTCGCTGGTCCACGCGGCTGCTCGGGGCATGCCCATCGGCTCATGCACTCTCATTACATGCACAGCACAGCGGTCGATTGGTTGCCACCAAAGGAACCTACGCTTTCCCCCCGCGGTCCAGACATACGTAGGGTCTATGAGCAAGGCTCAAACTGTAACGGTATCCCGCAGGCTATCGTGCAACGCATTCTTCGGGTTTGGGAAGCAGAATGACACATGTGAGGAGGTGGATTGCTGGTTGGGATACATGCTCCTCGAATTGCACCACAACCCACCCATGTCCCTGATTATGAGGTCAGTCATACTGAGATGGTAATGGCAGCCCTCCTCCCTCTGGGATCCACTTCCAGTGCCGACACTGCAACGGGGGGACTATACCAGGAGTGAGGTGGAAGACTACTACAACTACATGGGGATGCTGGCCGCAGAGGTGAGCGGGAAAGGTCCAGTGTGTGTGCTTCACACAGTGATCACGGGACTTCTGCTCATGACGGCGCTCTCGCTTCAATGCGCAGGGCAACTATGACAAACTGGAAGAGCTGTTCGACAGTGAGCTGGGCTGGATCGAACAGGGCTGGCTTATGCTTTGTGCAACGCTGGCATCGACGCATGACAGCATAATTCTTGTGTATTCAAGTACATGCTAAGAACCAGGGATCGACTATGCATGATCTTGTGGGTGCAGGTGGCGTGGAACCTGTGGATCTCCTGGTTCTCCTTGCCAGCACCGAGAACGACCTGCCCAAGCTGGAGGAGCTGGTGGCGGCGGGGGCAGACCTGAGCGTCAAGGTGACCAAGGGAGCGGAGTATTCGCAGGTGGTCATGAACATGGTGAAAGCAGGCTCAGCAATCAGGACAACACCAAACACGTAACATCCTTGCATGCCTGCCACCCGCGCAGGATCCAGAGGGAAGGGGCTGCATGGACCTGTGCACGAAACCTGCGATCAAGGAATACTTGAAATCTGCTTCCAACTCCATGGCATAGTCCTGTATGTCTAGGTGCATGGTGAAATTGTTCTGTGGAATGTAATGTGCCTTAGCCAGTGCACAGGAGTTGCCACCCTGGAAAGCCGGAAAGCGATCGAGGATCATACCATGTGCATGGCGGTGGCGATTCGTGTGCCGAGACGCTTCAGATGCCGCATGACTTCTGTGACGACTGCCTAATTGTCAGCTCGGTCGTTCTCTATTACATCCTTGATGCGACGGGGCACCCAACGAGCCCGGGGCGGCCAGGACATCGTCACATACACTCCCAGGCACGGTGTCCGCATGGCTGCCTGCATCGGTCAATCTTCCCACGCTCCCTCCCTCACATTCCTATGCACTCGACGAATCAATGCACTTTGTTGCCAACAGGGAGGATGGCGGGTATGAGCTGAGCATCTCGGATGCATGCGGTCGCCAGATGTGGGGTCCACGCTCCCTCAGGGCCGTGCCATTCGCAGCTGCCCTCCCTGCAGGCGGCGTGGCGGGCACTGTGCTCAGCACGGGCGTCAGTCAATTCCTGTGAGTATTTCAGATGGCTGTTGGCGATCTCTGAGCTCCCCCACTGCGTTGGGATTGGGAAATGCTCACCCCGGAACCCATGGCAGCATGAGCCCTCTGTGACAGGATCGTCATGTGTGAAAGCCCATGTGTGGCTTGCTAAGAGCTAATTTCTTCTGAGACGGACGCTTTTGAACTGACCTCGTGCGATAGTACTCTCTGAAAGACCCTGAAACGCCTTTCAATCCTGCAGGAGCCTGTATAATGCTGCTCTCATTGGGCGGATCCTGCTCACCTGGTTCCCCCAGGCCCCAGAGGCCATCTCTCGGCCACTGGCCACAGTGTGCGACCCCTACCTGAACCTGTTTCGGGGCATCATTCCTCCACTGGGAGGCACGCTGGACCTGTCGCCCATCCTGGCCTTTGTCGCGCTTGATGTGAGGTCCAGGCGGGGTTGAGTGGCGAATCAAGATGGGGCAGGGTGGCATCGCAGTGATGCAAGGATGATTTGCTCAAGGGATGCTCATATCTGGCAAAATGTCTGTTATTATCACCTCGTGAGCACGTCGCATCATGTCTGCTCAACATAACACCCCGTTCGGATCCCCCGCCCAGGTGATCACCAACACGGCGTCTGCCATCCCTGCCGAGGTGGATGCCCAGGGCCAGATGGTCACTATGCCAGCCCCTCGCTGGAAAGCCGGAATGAATGCTGCGGGGCGGAAGATCACCTCGCTCGCGTCCGGCCTGTCGCTGTGAGAGGATGGCAGCTGGCCGCTGGTGGCAGGCATGCCAATCTGGTCCCCCTCCAGCATATCATGGGCCGGGAGGACACACAGCTCCTCGTGTGTCAATGGTCATGCAGTGCATGCTCCACCACCGTCTGTCACGCCTCTGTCTCTGCACGCGGGCGTCTGAAACTACTGTACACAGACCTGAGGGAGCAACCTAGTGGCATGACGAACTCGAGGTCATGGTCAGTCAGGGTGAGTGGTGGTCAATGGAAGCAGGTATGCCCCTGGGGCGGGTCCTTTTCTTCTCCAGCTCCCGGCCAGTCCCCCCCTGAAGGGGGTGTCCCAAGGCCAGCAGCTGCCCAGCCAGGGACGCTCAAAGCAGCACGCTCTGGCGCGGCTTGAACGACACGCCCGGCGGCGCGTCCGAGCCGGTGGAGGAGGGGGTCCCCGTCGGCCGGTCGTCCGACGGGGCGCCCTCGCTGGCGCTCAGCGGCACGCAGCGCAGCACCTGCAGGTTCCCCGCCTCGTCCTGCGCCCACTTGACCGCGTAGCGGTTGCCGTTCTCGCTTTCCACGAACTCGTCGCCCAGGGGCACGTGGCCGATGGTGCCGTCGTCCAGGTGCACCTCCACCGACCCGCGTCCCTCTGCCTCGGCGGCCTCCATCTCGGCCTGGGGTCGGTGCAGGTTGAGGGGTGGAGAAGGAAGGGTGGCACGCCGACGTGTCGGCAGGTGGTAGCTGTGCGGCCAGGGTGGGGCAGGCCCCCGGTCGCTGCGACCCGCAGCCTGCCCCACCCCCATCCCGCACCCCCCAGACCACGGGACCCCCCCCGCCCCCCACCACCCGCACCTTGCGCGCGATGGTGAGGAAGACCTCCTCCAGGCTGGTCAGCGCGATCTGGACGTCGGTGATGCCCAGCTCCGAGCCGCGCTCGCGCAGCGTGCCCAGCACGCCCGGCAGCTCCGCCTCGCGTGCCTTGGGCACCAGGAAGTGCATGTAGGCCCGGTTCTCCTCGGCGGGTGCCACGCCCAGCGCGGCACGGAAGTAGGCCCTGACCTCGTCTGCCCGCGCGGCCTGCGCGCGGGCGGCGGCGGCCCCGTCGGCCCCCGTCACGCGCGGCACGACGCTGACGCTGAGCTGGTAGCCGGAGCCGAAGCGCTGCTTCAGCCGCAGCGGCGTGCCCAGCGCGCGCAGCTGGCCGCGCGCCATGATGCCGACGGTGTCCCCCAGGATGTCGGCCTCCTCCATGGAGTGGGTGGTCAGCACGATGGCGCGCCCCGCCTTGGCTGCCTCGATCACGTCCCACACGTGGCGCCGCGAGATGGGGTCCAACCCCGTCGTCGGCTCGTCCAGGTACACGATCAGCGGGTCGCCCAGCAGCGCGATGGCCACCGACAGCCGGCGCCGCATGCCGCCGGAGTAGGCGCCCGTGCGCACGCGCGCCGCGCCCTGCAGCCGCACCTGCTCCAGCAGCGCGGCGGCCTGCTCGCGCAGCGCGGACCGGGGCAGGCCCTTGACGCGGCCGTAGATGTGCATGTGCTCTGCACCGGACAGCTCCGGCCACAGCACGTCAAACTGCTGGCACACGCCCATGATGGAGCGGATGCGGTCCGCGCCGCCGGAGGAGCCCAGGCGCTCGCCGTACACCAGCACCTCGCCGCCGGTGGGGGGCAGCACGCCTGCAGGCGGGTGGGGGGGGTTGAACAGTGGGAGGGCTTGGTGCAGGCGGGAGGAGTGGCCTTTGCATGGTGAGGGGGAGCTAAGAATCCCCCGTGTGGTGGTTACCCTGCCTTCCAATGATTGGCCAGTAAGAAACAAAGGGCCCCTTCCCAACACTCAGACCCTGTGGGTCCTGCCGCACCTGTGAGGCAGTTGATGGTGGTGGTCTTCCCCGCGCCATTGGGGCCCAGGAGGCAGAACAGCTTGTCCTGCTCGATGGAGAACCAGGAGCCCTTGATCGCCCAGAAGGGCTTCAGGCGCTGGGAGACCGGCTTGGCGGGGCGCCTGTTCTTCTTCCGCCTCAGCTTCGGCACCCAGCCGCAGAAGAATCTGTGCAGGAGTGGGGGGAAGATGTGCTGACACTGACAGAGCACGGACACTCCAGGCAACATGGCGTCTGCCCCTCTTTCATGCAGCCTGCCCATGGTCTCACGACCGATGAAGCCTTCCCGCGCCCAGGCTCACCGGTTCAGGCTGTGCCCAAATCTGGTCAGGATGCCGGGTGTGAAGACCTGCTTCAGGCCAAACACCTCCACGGCTGCCGGAGGCACAGGCGACGTGGCAAGGTCGTGTCCTGGTGGGGTCAGAGCAGGGAAGGGGCATACCTGAGCTACAAGAGACACCGGTGTATGTCATACATCAACAGTTTGTACAGCGAGACGACGTCACACCCTTTTGAGGGTTACCACCCACCTGTGCGAAGCTCGAGCAGGTTCCTCATGCGCTGCTCCTCTGCGGCCACGTCGGCGTCGATCGGCACCTTGGAGCCGTTTGCGCTGGGTCCGCTGGGCTGCACTGCAGCAGCCCGCTTCCAAGGCCTGAGCGAGGAGGGGATGGGTGTGCTCAGTTGAGGGTGTGGTGTCGTGGAAGAAAGGTACCCAGGAGTCAGCCAACATACTGCTTTGCGTCTGAAGTAATGCTGTGCCCCATGTCTCACGCAAAATCCAATCGATCTCTACCATGCTTTCCTGCCTTGCTCTGGCCGTGGTCCAGTACCCCACAATCACAAAATGCCCAGCATGCAATTTTGGCCCAATCCTTGTCTACTACACTCACCAGAACCTGCGCTTGGCTTTGGGAGGGGGAATGGCAGACGACCTGTCCCGGCGCCAGTACGAAGGCAGCAGGAAGTACCAGGGCTTCTGACGCACGCCTGCAATGCAGGGGAGGTGTGGGCGGGAGGTTGAGCTTGACGGTGCACAAGCGCTGTTATGGTGGTCCTTTGACTCCAGCTTTCAACAAGACGCGGCCATGCACTCCATACTCTTACCACCCCCGCACAGCTGACACCCCGGCGCGCACCCTGCTCGTTGGGCAGGATATTGTCCAGGTAGACCGCCAGGACAAAGTAGGCGAGGGCCTCCAGGGTGAGGAAGATCATGATGGTCTCGATGCTGAGCACGCAGTCAAAATTCTGGTACACCCCGGGGACAAAAGCCTTGGCCTGCGCCTCTGGGTCCTGGATGTTCTGGCAGTAGGATCCGCGCGTCGACCACTGGATGCCCTGCGGCCCGGAGGCCACGGAAGCAGCGCCCAGGTCCCAGGAGGCCTTGGCCAGGAGCGACCAGGGGAGCAGGGCAAAAATGACGTTCAGGGCCGGCACGGAGTCGATGTTGTCGGGGGTGTAGGGGAAGCCAAAGGCGATGACCACCTGGCAGATCCAGCCGATGATGAAGATGACGAAGCCAAAGTAGACGGCGGAGGTGGCCCTGTGGGGGCGATAATGTGCGTTTGGGAGTGTTCAGAAGTGGAGTTGGAAGGGGAGAAAGGACTGAGGAGGCTTGATGCTGCATCGCCTTGGTGGCAAGTTTGCAGCTCTGACCAAGTGATTGATGGCGCAAACCTCAACTTGGTACCTCCCTGGCCCACTACACATGAGCCAGCACCAAGGGCACCGCATGCCACAAGGTCTCTGCCCACTACAACCCCCTCTCCCTCTCCCATGGAAATCTCACTTGGAGATGAAGGTGGAGAAGAGGAAGGCGGTACTGGTCATGGCCCATTGGAACAGGAAGAATACGAGGAAGAGCTGCAAGGATTTTGGGACAAGGGAATGGGATGCGCAGGGAGGGGGTCCATGATCATGAGGAAGGCATGTTGCTCCTAGCCAGCAGGACAGTCAGCCATCAGCACCCCACCCCACCCCCTCCCTCCCATTGCCTCACCACCCCGAAGCTGTTGTTCAGGAAGAAGTCGAACTGGAAGGCGGCGCCAAACCCGATGATGAGCAGGGAGAAGAGAATGCCGGCCAGGAGCTCCGTGAACCCCCAGGAGAGCCAGAACGCGGAGTCCAGCATGCCCATGTTCTTGAGTGCCTGGCGCAGTCCTTGCTCCCGCTCCATCACCACCGACGACAGCTGTGTGGGGGCGTGGGAATCCTGGCTGAGCTCGACCCACGCAGGTTTCCGACCAGCACCTGCATGGCAACCTGCACGCCTCAGGTACATGGACGAGCACACCCTCCGCTGCGGACCCCGCCAACCCAGGCCGGCGCCAGCCCAGATCATGCCGAGCCCCCTCGAGATCTGGCCCACCCACCAGCAGCACGAAGCCAAAGAGGTTGGCGGCAAAGACAAAGGGCCCTATGGCCTGGCCCACGATGTTGATGCTGTCCACGGTGGGGTGCGCAAACTCCGACAGCGAGATGGTCCAGGAGAAGTTGGCGGCGTCCCTGCCCGCCAGCTGCCACAGGTACCGCGCGATCTCGCGCTCCGCGGCCACTTGCAGCGGCACCTGGGAGAAAAAGGTCGGGTCCTGGTACAGCCCACGGAAGAGCTTGACCTGGCGAAGAGGGAGGGGTCCGGGGCAGGGTGTGGGGTATGTTGCTGGGGTGGGGGCCAGGGGCCCGGTGTGGCAGGCTGCCCTGCATCTCAGGTCAATGCAGGTCTCCATAACACAACCAATTAACCACTTGACCGCATGCTGCAACCCAAGGGTGGCTGTAGAATTCCCAACACATCCATTCACTCCTCCTCTTCGCCCCTAGCAACCCACGGTGGAGTTGATCTGGAGCAGGAAGTCCATGCCAGATGAGCCATTGGGGCTGAAGTGATACGCCCCCAGGGTCTGCTCCTTGTTGTTCTGCAGCCAGGAGTTGACGTCGTCCATGCTGGGAAAACCTAGCACGGCACTGGCTGGGATTGGACGCCCCGGGTTGTTCTCTCGGATGCCCGTGACGATGGCCTGCAGAGTTGATAGGCATGGATAGCTCAGTTGGGGGATGGGAGGACAAGACACAGAGGCAGCGGCCTCGAGGGAGAACCAGGCTTGCTGTGTAGAGTACGTGTGGCTCCAAAACCCCAGACAGAGCCAACCCAGGTAGGCACCAATCGGTAACAGCCTGTGACTTGGCACAGTGCCTGACAAGACACCCATGCCAACTACTTCAACTGTCATTCCCAGCTTCCTACAGGGCCGGGCCAGCTTTCCCATACATAATGTATCAACTCCAAGGATGGAGCCCCAGAGCTTGAAATGTGTCCTTCCCTACTGCACTTCCCATCCACCCAACATTCGACCCACCTCAACAGCGCTGTTGTTGTTGGGCTGGTACAGGAAGTCCCAGCAAGGGCTTTCAATGTACATGTCGGTGGCACACGCGGGGATGGCCCCCACCGTGACCACGGCTGGGTCCGGGTTGTCGACAAAGTACTCAAGGTATGGGTTGTCGTTGCGCACCGCGATGTTGATCAGCCAGAGCAGGAACATGAAGAACTGTGGAATTGTAGGAAATGTAGTATAGTAGTGAAGGAGGTGCCTTCGATCGGGCTGGGAGGAAGGGCAAGGAATGCCCCACCCCAAGGCTCCAAAGCCACAGGATGCGGGCCGGGAGCCCTGAACTAAGTCCCGGGTCCCGGGCGCGCCTCACCAGTGGGGCTATGATACGCAGCAGCGTGGCGCGCAGGTTCCTATAAGCCACTATCATGTTCTTATAGGAAAGTGACCTGGGGCAGGGAGAGGGGAGGGAGCTGCATGAAGTGGGGAGGGACGCTGCCTAGGGACACCTCTCCTCAGCGCAGGTCTCTGACCCCTGCGGAACTCCTTGCGAACCAGATCTCACGTGAACTGCTCCCAGAAACGAACATGCCAGTGCCGATCAAGTATGCGGGCGCCCATGAAGGGCGATCCGGTCATGGGCGCAGCTGCTGGTCTGAGGGTGGCATCCTCCGAGTCAATGCTGGGCTTGACGCCCTCTCCCTTGCCGTTCATCGCATCCATGCGAAGCACTCGCTCCTGTCAGATGGCCCCTGCTGTCTGACGACAAGCGGTCCGGACGCGATACTAGCGTAGCTCCTGAGGATCTTTCAGCTGCGGAGAGACTGGGACCCCCATCCTTTCCAGCAGAACCCTACGCGGCATGGCGCTTCAGACGGGCAAAGCTTCCGCTGGATAGTTACCTTCCACCTTTCGTCATTGCCGACTACAAAATCGCTAAGGACCAGACTTGTGGGTGCGGAGACGGTACTGCTCTGCGGCGAGGCTCGCACCCTCCGCCTGCCTTCGCTTTCCCAAGGAGTTATTCAGGCGGCACCCACTCAGGAGCAGGGGCTCTCTTTTCAACGCCCAACTGATATATCGTGGGCTGCGATCTGATTGGGCGCCAGCACGGTACCGATCGGGGCACGGTAGAGAATAGAGGAGGTTCGTTAACCTTCCGCGCTCAACCACGGATCATTCTGAGACACCGCACTCCAGGGTGTGGAGGCGTGCGGTCCCCATGTCCACCGCGGCACCCCCCAAACATGTGAGTGTGTTCATTCAGGACACCGAGCAGGTTTCTTTGGAGGCGCGGTTCCGGTGGTAATCTGCCTGAGCCGGGTTCGGGACTGTCCCCATGCGCCCACCGGTCTCAGATGGGGTTCGTGAGGGATGCCACTGCAGCCAGCACAGTCCTGCAGGGGAGGGGTGTCCCCGCCTCTGCCCCTCTTGTACACTGATGTAATGTATTCCAGTGTTCCATTTGGGGATCCTTGTGGCGTCTTGAAGCTCAGTGGGCAAGTCGTAGGAGCTCACACTGCGGATGTTGACACGAGCACTGATGCCCCAAACGACCACCATCCCCACCACTTGCAGACCACGTTTGGCACCCAGGCGCGCGCGCTCTTCATAAAGAATGCGGCGCAGCAGCGCCGGCAGCGCCGCACCAACATCATCCTCATCCTGTACCCGGTCATCTTCTGCATCCTGCTCTACGTGCTGCAGCGGGTAATCAACAATGCACTCTCATCCCGCGATAACCAGGTGGGGTGCAGGGTGTGTGCTTGGGTGGTACTCCCTGCCCTGTGGGTCACAGGGGAGCGCAGCGGCAAGCAGGGTGAGGAGGATGCGTCGATCTCTCCCTCGCTCGCTGGTGCCGGTGTGTACTCTGTTCTGGACACACAGCGCACTGAGCCTCCTGTCACACCCCCAACCTCCCAAATTTCAACCACGCAGTGCGGCTGCTACTGCCTGTCCTGCTGCCGGACGGACGCCGCGGGCACGACCACTTGCCGCACCAACTCCGCCGCCGACCCATGCCAGCAGTCCGACGACTGCCAGGCGTACGACGACTCTCGCTGCGGCGTGGAGTACTCGGTCAACGGGCAGGCAGGGTATTGCGCGGTGCCGTACCCGCCCACCTGGCCGGCGCTGATGCAGGTGCCGCTGACGCGGCGCCGCGCTGAGCCCTGGCGCCCCGCGGCCGCCATGCTGTACACGGGGCAGGATGCGGCGGCCGCCGCGCAGCTGGCCGGCGGACTGTTCGGCGACGGCGCGCCTAGCGCCGCGGAGCGCGCCGCGGCGCAGGCCACGCTGGCGGCGGGGGAGGCGGCGGGCACCATCTATGCCTCGGGCCTGTCCCAGCTGGGGCTGACGCTGGGAACCTGGCGCCCGGTGACCGACTTCATGACTTACTACCTCGAGCCGGGCTTCCTGCAGGGAGAGAACGCTGAGGATGTGGGTGGACGCGGAGGACATAGGGGGGTTGGGGGGGGAGAGATGGGGTGATGGGACCTAGCGGAGGTTGGAGTGGAGATGATGAGGGGGGGGGCACGGTCTAGGCAGGGACGTGCCTAAGCAAAGATCAACACACTCCGAGGAGAGGGTGTGGGTGGTGGCAAGAGTGCTTGGGGGCCAGCCCTGTCATGGCCGCAGATCCACTTGCATGGCTGAGCTCGGCCACGCCGCCATCACTGCTCGCCGCAGCCCTTGCATGGAGGCACGCGCCCACTCATCTCCCTCGCCCCCCACCCCCCTCCTGATTTCCACAGTACAACGCCAGCATGTACATGATGGTGGCCGACGCCGCAGCCCCGGCGGCTGTCGTCACCGCAGACCTGCTCGGCACAGCGATCGCCGGCGCAGCCAACTCGCTGGGGGGCGGCGGCCTGGTGGCGCCCACCTTCACCCCGACCACGGGGGAGCCGGTGTGGGAGGCCAACGACAGCACCATCAACAGCATGCTGTACTGCGGATACGCGCGGGTGGGTGGCTGGGAATGGGCTCTGTGGAGATGGGGTTTTTGAGTACCGGCCCTCTGGGTGGTATGCGCGCCGGTGGGCTTGACTGGGACCATCATGGACGTGTGTTGGCGTTGGAGTGACCTGCAGGCGGCCTTGGTGGCTCACACAGGAGCAACCTGGACTGGGACGCTTGGTATGCCTTGTGGGTCTCCGAACGAGTGTCACGAATGGACAATCTCCTGCGACACCCCAACCTCTCACCATTCCATTCCCAGGCCTGGTGCAACGACACCTTTGCCTTCAACGAGATTTCCCAGGCCTGGGACTTCCAGGACACCTCCACCACCTCGGGCACCTTCAACACTCGCATGTGGTACAATGCTACGGGTCGGTATGGAGTGTACCAGACACCGCCCACCCTGGTCCGCGTGAACCAGGTGCGGGGCCTAGAGATTTCCTTTTGAGCCAGGGAGTAGTGGTACGGTCTGGATGGGGTGGGGTCCAGATGACAGGGACGGCACTTGGTGACCCTGCCTTGCATGGCGGGCGAGTGTCCCTGGGACATCACCCCTCTGGCTCTGCTCATCAGACAATCGGGGGGAGAGCGCGGTGCCTTGGCTCGCCGCACCGCAGCTCCTCTCAAACACTGCTTCATGTCTGCCATCTCAGTGCCGTTGGTATGAGGCCTGCCGTGAGTACAACAAAGAAGCTCTCCCTTTCCTCCTTGCCCTTCATCCAGGGCATCAACCTGGCGACCAACGCCTTCCTGCAAGCCGCCCTGGGTCCAGACTATCAGGCCCAGCTCCTGGGCCTGATGGAGATGCCCAAGGTGAGCACCTGACCAGATGCCTGGCCCCTCTGCGTGTTGTGTACCTCAGGACTGTGTTGAGATCCAAAACAGCCCTGTCAGCGCCCTCTCCCACCCCGGGCCTGCCACCACTCTCTGCAGGGCGCCACCATCCTGAGTCTGAACTTCTCTGCCCTCCTGGGCCCACTCTTCTTCGTCTGGCTGGCTCAGCTGCTCCTCCCCACTATGCTTGCCAGTCTGGTGTATGAAAAGGAGATGAGGTAAGGAGGTGGGGCCATCTTTGGCGTGGAAGGAGAGGTTAGGTCTTGGTTGCCGTGCACGTGCCTTGTTGCTGGAATGGGGGAGCGGATGCCGCTGGCTGAACCCATCTGGATGTGTCAGCCATGTGCATGACCGCACGCTTGTGCGCTCCCTTTCCACCCAGGCTGAGGACCATGATGAAGATGCATGGGCTGGGGGACGGCGCATACTGGTGAGGACGGGTGCATGGTGTGAGGCTGGTGGCGCGAGGGGTGGCCACAGACAGAGTCTGTTGACAGAAGGTGTGCATTTTGGGAGCTGGCACCACCTCTCTCGTGCCTCTGCCTCAGACTTGAGCTGTCTGAACTGACACACCGGAGCACCCCCTCTTCATCTCAGCTTGACCTATGCCGCGCACTCAACCTCCCTCCCCCAGGATCATCCAGTATGTTTGGTTCTTCATCCTCAACTTCCTGTACTCCATGGTGCTCATCGGGATTGGGACAGCGGTTGACCTAGCCATCTTCCGCCTCACCAGCTACAGCTACCTTGTGGTGAGCAAGGTTGGGGTCGGTGGACATGTGTGCATGTCTATTATGGATCCTTACACAAGCTCATCATGAGCCCGAGGGGTGGCATCTAATGCACGCATCATACAAACCCCCTCCACTACACCACACCGATGTCGCACAGGTGTTTTACTTCCTGTGGGTCAACTGCCTGATATCCTTTGCGTTCTTGCTTTCCACCTTCTTCCGCTCGTCACGGACAGCCGTGGTGGTGGCCTTCCTCTACACCTTTGCGACGGGGCTGATTGGCTACCTGCTCCTCACCCAGTTCATCCAGTCGGGTCATTGGTGGTGCGCTGGGCTCTTTTGTTGGTTGGTGAGGGTTGGGAGACTGCACTGCTGAGTGGGAGGATGGTTCATAGAATCTGCAATTGACTGAGGGACGTATGCACATGCAAGAGGTACCGCGCAAGGCCGGAGGACGGGCAGGGCGAGCCCAGGGGCCTCCACTTGATTCCGGCTGGCCGGCAGCCCAGCCTGTTTTGAGCTCGATGCGTCTGACCTCCGATCCTTACCAACGTACTCACCACCAGGGTGATCTTCTTGGAACTCGTTCCTGGCTGGGCGCTGTTCAGAGGACTCTGGGAGATGGGAACGTATGCCTTCAGGGGAGCATACAAGGTGGGATTGGAGTTTCCCGGCTGGTGGCTGGTGGTATGGGCGGTGGTGCTTGTTTGACTGGGAGGGCCGGGGCGGGGCTGCCGTGGTCTGTGTTTAGGTCAGGTAGCATGTGCACAGCAGGTCAGATGGGGGTCCCGCCTCTCGCTCTGTTCCTTGCATGCAATGACACACCCACCACCCACCTCGCTGTCTTCTCTGCTGCAGAACTCTGGCGGGATGTCTTGGTCAAGCCTGAGCGATCCGGGCAATGGATCCACAGCTGTCCTCATCATCTTTGCTGTGGAGTGGGTGGTATTCCTCATCCTGGCCTGGTGAGCGGTCTTGGGTGGAGAGGGTGTGCCCTTGTGTCCTTACCCACCACCAGTGCTCTTGACATCTTGAGGGATGTGGCCTGCTCGTGGCAGTGTCCTTGTAGCGTCAAATGACCAGCCACGGGCAGGGCATGCCCATCAGGCCTGTTTGTGCCGTGCATGCTGCCACCTCTGCCAGCAGACAGACTGCAGACCTCATTGCCCAATGTCCTGATCCGCTGACACCCTATGTAGGTACTTTGAGCAGGTGATCCCGTCTGGGGTCGGCATCACGAAACACCCGCTCTTCTTTCTGGGAGGGAAGTTCCGCAAGAGGTCCCTGGCCGCACAGAGCACCCCTACGGACGTCGTCCAGGTGGGCATGGCACGCTGGCATTTTGTAGCGCACGGTGCCGCCAGGGGTGCTGGCGGGTGAGGAGCTGCATCGCAGCGACTCAGGGAGACAGGGTCTGGGGAGTTTATATGCACTGCAGGAGATTGCAGGTAGAAGCGTCGCTCAATGCTACCTCACAATTGCCGGTACCCCGACACCTTTTCAGGTGCCGCTGGAACCTGAGGACGTGCGTGCGGAGCGCCAGCGTGTCAGCGACGGCGACACGGCCGGCTCGTCTATCGTGATCAAGGATTTGGTCAAGATCTTCCCGCCCACCGGTGGAAACCCGTGAGTAGGAGGGTGGTTGGGCATGATCTGGGGTGGACTCGGAAGGAATGGGGCCTGCTTGTGCCTACATGGTCGGGAGAGGGAGTAACTGATGCCTGGCAGGTCCGACACAGGAGGTCGGGGTGGGCTCTTGCTCATCCCCCTGTACATTGCAAGGCATGGCTTGCTCAGCCGCACGCCCTGGACCCCTGCACAGGCGTTTGGCCGCAGTCAAGGGGCTGACCCTGGCTGTGGAGCGCGGTGAATGTTTCGGATTGCTAGGTCCGAATGGGGCGGGAAAGAGCACCACCATAAACATCCTCACCGGCTTCCTCACAGCCAATGGAGGTGGGTGTTGTATGAGATGGGCTCAGGGGGGTGGGCTGCGATGCTTGCATGAGCCTGCCGAGACCAACGCTATGGTTGCCGACCTGGGGAGCATGAATGCTCCGCGCCATGCCGGCACCGTTAAATTATTCCTTGGTTGCAATGGTGTGCATCTGGACCAACTCCTCACCGGAGACTCTCCCGGAATGTGCCCTTCCTTCTGTGGCAGGCAGCGTCGTGGTGGAGGGCAACGACCTACGGGATGGGATGAAGCCCATCCACGCCCTCATGGGCGTCTGCCCCCAGGTAAGCAATTGTATTCAGGGACAGCGGCAGTGCCTAAGCCCACCCGGACCATGTTTGGACCTGCACTGGATCTTGAAAGCACCTCTGACGCCCCTGAGCCCCTCTCATCTTTCTAGGACAACCTCTTGTGGGAGCAGCTCACAGCCCGCCAGCATCTCGACTTCTATGGCCGCCTGAAGGGCCTGAAGGTGGGGCCCCGTGTGTGGGCGATGCACCCTCTGTGCGCTTGCGGTCCTGTCGCGCTATCAGTCAAAGGGATGCAAGGGGTTGCTGCCTTGGTACACTCAGCTCTGGGTACCAGCAGCTCCATCATCCCCTGTACCCAACACAGGGCACGGAGCTCAAGGAGGCCGTGGATGCTGCGCTGAAAAGCGTCAACCTGTACAACTCGGGGGTCGGGGACAAGCAGGTGAGGGATGGTCGCGGGTTCACGAAAAGTAGCTGCGGTGATCCTGTGGCGTGAGGTGCAGGGATCCGCTGTACTGTGTGGAATGAATCTCCAGGCATCCAGCAGAGAGTGCTCAAGACCTGACTGCTGGGCCCGCCCACCCAACTTACTGCAGGTTCAAGCATATTCGGGCGGCATGAAGCGGCGCCTATCTGTTGCGATTTCCTTTATGGGCTCACCTGCTGTCGTCTACCTGGACGAACCCTCGACGGTGGGTGTGTTGTCCCTCATTGAAGGCCATGCTCATGTGTCTTGAGGTGTTCTTTTTACTCCTCTGCAACCCCCTCGACGCCCCTTCGCCCGCCACGACACCAATGCACAGGGACTGGACCCAGCCTCGCGCCAGAACCTCTGGGATGTGGTCAAGGAAGGAAAGAAGGGAAGGGGCATCGTGCTCACCACCCACAGGTACGAGGCGCTTTGGTCTGACCCTCATCTGACCGTGCTTCTGGCTTCAGGTAGTGCCTTGTCACAGGCATGTACAATGTTGCTGTTCCTGCCCATTCCGCCCTTTCCTCCACCTCCCAACACAGTATGGAGGAGGCCACGGTCTTGTGTGACAGGCTTGGCATTTTCGTGGACGGGCAGCTGGTGTGCCTCGGCAGCCCGCAGGAGCTGACTTCCAGATATGCTGACTTTTATGTGAGATTGGGGTTGCCTCTGAGATGGCTGGCCCTTTCATTCAGAATCTGAGGTTCAGCACGGCAGGGGTTCCATCAAAACCCTTGTCATCTGCATCGGATGCGAGCTCTGCATGCCTCCTGTGCCAACAAGTACATCCCCCACCCGTCGACCCACCATGACTCCGGCAGGTGTACACGATCATGACCCCTCCCGAGCAAGGAGAGGCAGCCCACAAGCTTGTGCTGTCCATGAGTCCCAATGCTCGTCAGACATATGCGTTGGCAGGGACAAGAAAGTATGAGCTGCCCGTCGCAGATGTGACGCTAGCAGTGGTCTTCAACGAGATGACTGCTGCCTCCAATCACCTCACAATACTGGACTGGGGCATTGCCAATGCCACACTGGAAGAGGTCTTCATCAAGGTACGAAGGGGCTTGCCCTAGCTTGGCTACTGGGACATTGACGCATTACAATTAGATTGCTGGACATTATATCAAGTACCTGACCTCGCCCTCCTTCTCCACTGCAGTTCGCCAAGGAACTCGGCGTCAAGGGAGGAAACTAGACCCTTGGCACTGGCTCCTCTCACGTCCTGCCCATGTGCTTGCTTGTGTCATAGACATCTCTTTCATCCCCACCCACCCGCCACTTCACTAAAGCCACTGCACTACTCCCTTCATGACTTATTTTTTTGTAGACCTCGCTTTTGAAAGCTTATTCGCAACGTCAGCATGCAGAAGAGACCTTGCAGGTTCATGGATTTCCCGCCATGCGCAGCTCGCGCTGCTGGCAATGGTCGCACGATCGCCATGGTAAACGGAGCTGCGCGAAAAGTGTTTAACGAGCATGTAACCTCCACCCAATTGTTGTAATGAGTATTCAAGGACTCTGATCAGCCAGGAGCTCCCCCGTGCTTCGACATCCTCATGGAACATACAGAAGCAGCATGAAGGTAAGGGACACTGACATCGCACAGTCGGGGCCGGTCAAGTCCGCAGCATGCCCACAAGTATCGCGCCCCGGCATTCGTACAGGCTCGTTGCAAAGGGAGGTGAGCGCAGCCGGTGGTCCCCCGCGAAACCCTCGCCTCTCGTGCGGCCCCGGTTTCACGATGGCGGATGCGATTCGTGCCACAGGACGCCAGGTCGGTTTGTATTGGAGCGGCTATCGCTCCCCCTTCGTTTGGTCATCCTTCTGTCAGAATTCACTTTGAGGACCCGGATGTCCTTTTTGAAGCTTCATGACTGAATTCGGGCGCCAGACCGCCTGCCCAAGCTTGACATACGCCACCCACTACCCCCGCGCAGACGACATTCCGAACCCAAGCCACTGCCTTGTTCCTGAAGAACGTAGCCCAGCAGCGAAGACAGAGGCGCAGCAATGCCTTGCTCATCATATCTCCTGTGCTCTTTTTTGTGATCCTGTTTGTCTTGGAAACTCTCATCAATAATGCGCTCGACACACCAACGTACAAGGTGGGTTTGCCTTTTTTACCCCTTCGATACCCACTTCATGCTGCTTGGGGGTGCCTGGAAGATTGCATGACGACATACTGCCGGATATTCAAGTGCTGTTTGTGGGATCGGGTGCAGGCACTATTAACATTGAGGCCCACAGGGCCTTCCTGGCACATGTTTATCCCCATCAGCAGCTGACGAGTTCCTCTCCTCCCCGCATGGACCTCCCAAAACTTTCTCACCTGCAGTGTGGCTGCTACTGCCTGCGATGCTGCAGTACAAATGGATCAAGACAGTACACATGCCGGAATAACACAGAGGGAGCGGCCTGCCGGTTCTACGAGGACTGCGAGGAATACGACGAGTCTCGTTGCGGCTTGGGGTACAGTACTGCGGCGCAGGCCATGTACTGCCCCGTACCGCAGCCGAGCACATGGCCGGCGCTGATGCAGATCCCCAGGACAGCGCGGCGCGCGGAGCCCTGGCGGCCCGCAGCTGCAATGCTGTACACAGGTGATGAGCGGGGCGCCTCAGAGCAGCTCGCCAACGAGCTCTTTATCGATCCTGCGCCGAGTCCTGCAGAGGAGGGTGCTGCAGCAGCCACCTTCCAGGAAGGCCTGGCCGTGGTAAGTCAGCCCTTTTGGTGGAAAAGAGGGGAAGTCGGAGGGTGGGGTGAGGCGGCCCTGGCCGCGCACTCCTGCTGGTCTTCCAAGCCAGATCAGCCCAGGTGATACTCTCAAACATCAGTGCCATGGCTTCTGGACTTTTTAAGAAAGCCAGGTATGAAGGGATAAGGTCTCAAACATGCCTCGCCTGCCTTCCGCCCCCAACAGGGAGCTATTTATGCGTCTGGCCTATCCCAACTGGGGCTCATCCTGGGGTCAGATCGGAACAGATTCTTTCCCACCTACTATGTGGAGCCATCCCTCATCTCCACCAGATATGTGAGTCTGTTTCTGGGTGCCGTCCAGGGGAAGCTGGTCAGGGTGGTTGCTGCGCCGTCATCCTCTTTTGGTTCCGAGTCAAACTGCTTGCCGATCCTCCCTTGACCTGTTCCATCCTTCAACACCAATCCCAGTACAACGCCAGCCTGACGGCTGTGGTGAGGAATGCCAGCTCCCCCAGCGTTTCCCTCTTCCTAGACCAGCTCGGCACCTCACTCGATGCGCTGAGCAACGCAGTGGGACTGGGACTGGCAGTGCCCTCAATCTCCCCCGTCACGGGCGAGCCGGCGTGGCAGGCCAATGCGTCCGCCATCAACAGGTTCCTGTACTGCGGCTACCCTCAGGTGAGTGGGGCTGGCATTCTGGAAGTCAGGGCGCCGCTGCTTCCTGGTCAGGAAGCACGCTGCATCAGACTGGTCAGCAGCCTGCCCCATACAATGCATTCTGCTCCCCCGGTCCTCTCTTTAGAAAGTCTAGTTTCAACGACCTGGGCTGGTTGTACGGGGAGCCTAACCTCTCATCAGCCTCGCACACTCTCCATCCCGCCCAGATCCGGTGTGGCGGGCGGGTGCAGGAGGACTACGAGGTGTCCCAGGCCTGGGACTTTCAAAACACGTCGGTGGAGACGGGGCAGTACAATGTGAGGATGTGGTTCAATGGAACCGGGCGTGTGGATGTGTACAACTCCTTTCCAAGCCTCCTACGAGTCAATCAGGTGGGTAAAGTTGGGTTGGGGGCGCCGCTTGGGGAGAAATGATTGCCACTCATTTGGCTTAACCTAGAGAAGGTGACTGACCAGGGGCCAATCAGTCCATCACAACTCCCTGCAGGGCATCAACTTGGCTGCAAACTCCTTCCTGCAAAGAGCGCTGGGACCAGGGTACCAATCCCGCCTCCTAGGGTTCCAGGAGATGCCCAAGGTGTGTGAGGGTGGGGCTGGGATCACAAGCTTTGAAGCAATATGATCGAATATGTTTGGTGCTTTCAAGCCGTCACTGGATGGCAGGCAACACTCCCAGCAGGGCGGGTCAAGGCCACTTGCGGCACATTCTGGTGCCCCCCCTTTCTACTCACCGTCCATTGCCATGTGCTCAGGATGTGACGCGCCTCACCGTTAGCATTTCCACCCTCCTGGGTCCACTCTTCTTTGTCTGGCTGAGCCAGCTGCTCCTGCCCACAATGCTGCTGACCCTCGTCTATGAGAAGGAGAAGAGGTGAGCGAGTGCCAGTGATGAGGATGGCACTGCCCCTGGAGATTGTAGTGTCCTAGCCTGTGTGCAGCTGCCCATCCTTTTTCTTACCAATCCCCCACATACGAGCACTGCCTCCTCTCTTCAACAGGCTGAGGACCATGATGAAGATGCATGGACTCGGGGATGGTGCTTACTGGTGGGTGGCCTGGGCCGAGCTCTGGCTTCTGTGCTTCAAGACGGCTGTGCAAGGAGTTTGGGATGTCTTGCCGCATGTAGTGTTATCTATCCCTGATATGCCCGTGCACCCAAGCTTCCTCTCTTAGACCTTTTAAGCAGAAAGGGAATCACAACCTTGTCAACCATCCCCCCCTCTCCCAAAACGCCGCAGGCTGATCCAGTACACATGGTTCTTCATCATGAACTTCCTCTTCTCCATGATCCTCGTGGGCATGGGCTGGGCCGTGGACCTTCCCATCTTCAGGCTCACATCATACAGCTACACAGTCGTGAGTTTAGGGGGGGGAGGGGGGGGGGGCAAGGTTTGTTGGGCACTGATGTCCAGGATTCAGTACTAGAATAGCCTGGGACAGCACTGTGACCATCCAGGACATGTCAATGCTGCCTTTGAGAAAGTGCTATGTCAGCAGACAGCATTTCAACTCACTATCTCCCTCTTTCCCCCCATCTAATGCAAGGTTTTCTACTTCCTCTGGTGCAACTGTCTCATTGGCTTCGCATTCCTACTCTCCACCCTCTTCACCTCCTCCCGCACGGCTGTGGTCACTGCCTTCCTGTTAATCTTTGGAACGGGGCTCATTGGCTTCCTGCTCCTCTCCCGCTTCATCGACAACGGACACTGGTGGTGAGTTGAGATACATGGTGCGGGCTGGGTTGCCATGGTGTGACGAGTGCCTGCGTACACTGTTCGAGGATGCCATATGTCTGACTTACAGAGGCAACCCCAACATCGTCGTCCTTTGAAGTGAAGGCAAGCTGCTTGTATCATTGCCGCTCTCACAATGGGACAAGGAGGGCTTCCACCACTCAATGTCTCTGTGTGCTCTGTGCAGGGTCATCTTCCTGGAGCTGATTCCCGGCTTTGCTCTGTACCGAGGGTTCTATGAGATGGGGGCGTACGCCTTCAGAGCAACCTTCAGCCCGGGTGTAAGTTGCTTGGGGCAGAGCGTTTGCTGTTTGATAGAGATGGGCCGATTGCTTCTGTTATGTAGAAAAGAAACACAACCTGGCGACATTGTTACCAGACTGCAGCACTAACACGCCCGCTTCCTCACTCCTGCCTCCTTTGCAGAGCACCAGGGGCCTCCAGTGGTCGACCCTGAGCGACCCAGGCAACGGCTCTATCGCTGTGCTCATCATCTTTGCAGTGGAGTGGGTGGTCTTCCTCCTGCTTGCATGGTGAGTGTGAGGATTTTGGGGGGCTTGGTGGGTTTGACAGGGAATGTACCTGGATAAATGCATGGCAAGGCGAGACAAATTTGGGAGTAACAAGTGTTCGCCGTGTAGCAGCAATCTCTTGACATTAGGCACCTGAGAGCCTCCCTCATGCGGCCGCTGCTCTTGCCCTTTGGCTCAGTTGTCTTTGTCATTGCCACCTTGCAGGTACCTGGAACAGGTCATTCCCTCGGGCATTGGGGTGACCAAGCATCCGTTGTTTTTCTTGGGAGGAAGGTTTTCCAAGCGTGCCGGCCCGCAGCCCTCGAAAGCAGGGCCAGATGCAGTCGAGGTGATGCAGGGATTCCGGTGGTCCAGCTGATAAGTCGCTGTACCGCCAGCATTGGTTGTTTGTCATTTCTGTTCGATAAATCTCACTCACTCTGCCAGTCTGGGCTCGGCCCTTGAGTCGTTCAACCTTGAAAAGATCCCAATCACCCTCCCCCCAGGTCATCGTTGAGCCTGAGGATGTGCAGGCCGAGCGTGCAAGAGTGGAGAATGGTGGAGCCGATGAAGCCTGCATCCAGATCAAGTCCCTCGTCAAGATTTTCCCAGCTGTTGGTGGCAACAAGTAGGTGCTGGGGTGGAGACTTGTGGTGCACATATTTGCAAACGAGGGGCTGAGCTGCTTGGAGGCTTGCAAGCACAGGTCAGCCCTCCTTCAACACACACACACACACACCTCCTTCCCACGCAAAGGCGTTTGGCCGCAGTCAAGGGGCTGACCATGGCTGTGGAACGCGGCGAGTGCTTTGGTCTGCTAGGCCCAAACGGGGCCGGGAAGAGCACAACCGTCAACATCCTCACCGGATTCCTCACAGCCACACACGGTAATCACGCGGGCGCTGGCTGTCATGTTTCAGCATGCTGCAGTAAGTAAGCTTGGAGAGCTCATCCCAGGTCCCTGTCGCCCGCCAATGCTCCTCACACATGCCCCAACATTGCAGGCTCTGTGATCGTGGAAGGCCACGACACCCGGAACGGCATGAGGCCCATTCACTCCATCATGGGAGTGTGTCCACAGGCAAGGAGGGTGTAAAATTCCTTAGGGTTGCAGTCACTCAAGCCCAGCATGTTTCTGGTTTGGACATTGGTTCATCATAATCCTGCCGGCCCCTTCCAGGATAATTTGTTGTGGGAGCAGCTGACAGCCAGGCAGCACCTGTCATTCTACGGTCGCCTCAAGGGCCTGAAGGTGAGTGACATAGGATGAACAAGTGCTGAAGCTTTGGGGTGACCAAGGGAGTAACTGTGCTGCGAGGTCCCCAGGAAGTGTCCTGCTCTAATCTACCCGTGCCTCCACATTACAGGGAGAGGACCTGGAGACTGCCATCATCAAGTCCTTGGCTTCTGTGAACCTGTTACACGGCCGAGTGGGAGAGAAGCAGGTATGGATCTGCACTGCGGGCTGTCGCCTTGAGTGTTCAGCTGCATGCTTCAATTTTTCTAATCAGGGGTGAGAGTGGCCGGGCATGCAAACACATATCCAGCTTCTCCCGGGGAGCTTGGCTTCCACACCCACCAATCCTACCACCCACAGGTGCTGTCGTACTCTGGCGGCATGAAGCGCCGCCTGTCTGTCGCCATCTCCTTCATCGGTTCGCCCGTTGTCGTCTACCTCGATGAACCTTCAACGGTAAACAGTTCTCGAGCGTTCCTACATGACGGTGTCCCACTGCATCAACATAGTATTGGTCACTGAGTTTCTAGTCACACTTTCCTGCCACATCACGGCCCACAGGGCCTGGACCCTGCATCCCGGCACAATCTGTGGGACGTGGTCAAGGAAGGAAAGGAAGGAAGGGGCATCGTGCTCACCACCCACAGGTACAGTTTAGGTCTCAAGGGTCGTACTCTTTTCCACTTGGCCATGGCCCTGTGTCACCGCATGGCTGTTTGATACCTCCACCCCCTCTTGGCCGCCCCTTCCCATGCCCGCAGCATGGAGGAGGCAAACATCCTCTGTGACAGGCTGGGCATATTTGTGGATGGGCAGCTCGTTTGCCTCGGCACCCCCAAGGACCTGACCACTCGATTTGGGGGATACTATGTGAGCTGGTATGGGGTCGTGGGCGCATGTGGGGATGGAAGCGGTGATCCAGGGGTCCTATGGAGGCCACCCGCATTCTCAGCTTGGGAGGAGCCCGCATGGCCATCACCTGTCTCTCTCCTCAAACCGACACAGGTCTTCACAATCATGACGCCAGCGGAGGAGGGAGAGTCTGCCCACAGACTGGTCCTCTCCATGAGCCCGAATGCCCGACAGACCTACTCCCTGGCTGGCACGCGGAAGTATGAGCTCCCAGTGTCTGACGTGACCCTGGCGGGAGTTTTTGAGGCTATGACCACAGCCGCTGCCCACCTCACCATCCTGGACTGGGGCATCGCCAATGCCACCCTGGAAGAGGTCTTCATCAAGGTGAGTGGAGGGGGAAGGATGAAGGGGATGTGAGGAGGCCATCGACATGAATGCATTGCATCACGCAACCCATGTCCTCCCTATTCATCTTTGCCGCAGCTCGCCAAACATCTCGGCGTGGAGGGCGGCAACTGATCTGACATTCCCTTTAAAACCCTCATCACTTTTGCGCTTTCCCATGCAAGAAGCTGGACTCGCTCATAGCCCTCTGTTTCTCTCAGTAGCCTACATGCTTGCAAGGTGCCATTCTTTGTGTACATCACGCAACACCCCTTCATTCTGCCACTCATGCTCAAGATATACTCCATCATTTGCATACCACTTGAAGGAGTCAAGGATACTCTCAAACTCCGGCCTCATCATGATAACCTTTGTGTAAAATAGTACTCAGGTGGGCTCCTGTCGCTCCTGGAGAAGCTGCCACAGGGCCTCAGAGGTGTGTTGAGCTCGAGTACGATTTTCAGCAGCCCATATCTGAACAGCTCAAGTGTAGGTAATCATAGTGCACGGTCAGGGTCTCCTGACAACACTCCCATCTCTCAAGTCACAAGGTGAATAATAATTCACCAGTACATCCTCTTTTCGCATCACTCCATCATTTCGGGGGTCTGTGGGCACTTGACTTTGCTTTGGGTCGCAGGTGCGACGCTTGTAGTCCAGCTGCTGCCGAGCCTCGCTTCCGGAGGCCTGAAGCAGACTCCGTCCCCTCCAGCTGCCTGGCCAGGAGCTCATCGCTGGAGCCTGATTGGATGACAGGGAAGGTGCATGGGTGCCGTGATGCCGAGGTGAGTAAGAGGACACCAAGATGCTGTACCGTAGGCAATTGCCTTCACAAGGGGCGTCATGGCTCAGGATCCCGTCGGGCCACAAGATGCTGGGATGGCACCAGAGAAACCCCACAACCCACAGCCCAACCCAGCCTACCCAGTACCGCAGCGTTGTAAGCCTGTTCCTCCTTGCGAGTCATGTCAGAGGGTGACCAGAGCGTCGACACCGTGCTCTTCGCCGCTTGGCGTTCCCCATTCACCCCTGCGGCACTCCTTGCTGGGAGGACGGGGCTGACGGCCTCCTTCACCTCCCTCTTGGCCTGCCTCTCCAACAGCTCCGCAGGGAGCATGAAGACCGCGTCCAGCCGCTCGGTGGGCAGCTCTGCGCCCGGGAACAGGGCAGGGAAGTGGTCCGGTGCTCAGGACCTCTTCACGCAGGCGTTCAGAAGCCTCGCAGGTCTTTCCTGGGAGAAGAGAGGGGTGTTCCTCAACAGCGCATCCCATCTCCCACTGCTTCCCCCCCCCCCCCCCCCCTTGGCGACGCCCACAGCCCCCCCGGGATTGTACACCCC